TTCTTTTACTTAATTTCAACTCCTTTTTTACTTAAATTCAACTACTTTAATAAGCTTTCCTGGTTATTTATTCTTCTTAAGTGAGCTTTGATATTTTGTGTCTTTCAAGGAATTTGTCCATTTCATCTAAGTTGTCTAATTTAGTGACACAAGATTGTTAACAATATTCCCTTATTAACTCTTTAATATCTGTTGAATCTATAGTGATGTCACCTTTTTCACTTCTGGTAATGGTAATTTGTGCCTTCACTCATTTTTTTCCTCATTAGTATGACTGGAGATTTGTCAATTTTATTGATCTCAAAGAACCACTTTTGGTTTCACTGATTTTCTTTGTTGATTTTCTGTTTTCTTTATTCCATTTATTTCCTTTCTGATCCTTTTATATTCTTTCTTCTGCTTACTCTTACTTTTATTTGCTCTTTTTCTAGTTTCTTACAGTGGAACCTGAGATCATTGATTTCAGACTTTTTTATTTCTAGTATAGGTGCTCAGTTCTAATTTTGATGTGCTGTGTTTTCATTTTCAATTATTTCAAAATACCTTATGATTTCCTCTTTGACCTTTGAGTTACTTAGAGGTGTATTGTTTAGTTTCCAAATATTTGGGGATTTTCCAGATATCTTTCTATTATTAGTTTCTAATTAATTTCACTGCAGACAGAGAGCATACTTTGTATGATTTTAATCCTTTTAAATTTATTGACATGTGTGTTATGGCCTAGCACGTGGTCTATCTAAGCAAATGTTCCATGAGTACTTGAAAATAATATTTATTCTGCTGTTGTTAGATGAGACGTTCTATAAGTGTCAGTTGGGTCAAGTTGGTTGCTAGTGTTTTTCAAGCCTTTTATATCCTTACTGATTTTCTATCTATTTGACCTATTAATTGTTGGGAAAGAGGTGTTGAAATCTCCAACTGTAATTGTGAATTTGTCTGTTTCTCCTTGCCGTTCTCTCAGTTTTTGCTTCATGCATTTTGAAGCTTTGTTATTTGATGCATAAATATTTAGGATTATTATGTTCTCTTAATGAATCTACCTCTTTATCATTATGAAATGATTCTTTTTATTCCTAGTAATATTCTTGGATTTGAAGTCTACTTTATTATAATTGTATTCATAATTAATATAGCCACTCTAGTTGACTAGTGTTACCATGGTAAATCTTTTTTCATCCTTTTACTTTTAATGTATTTGTGTCTTTATATTTAAACTGACTTTCTTATAGGAAGCATTTAGTAGGATCTTTTTTTTAATCCAATCTAAAAATCTCTGCCTTTTAGTTAAACTTTTAGAACATTTACATTTAATGTGATACTTGATATGGTTAGGTTTAAAACTACCATCCTGCTATTTATTTTCTATTTATCCCATTTGTTCTTTCTTTCCCTTTTCCTCTTTTTCTGCCTTCTTTTAAATTGATTGAATATTTTTAATGATTTCATTTTAGCTCCTTTTTTATCTTATTAGCTTTAACTCTTTGTCATATTATTTTAGTGATTGTTTTAATTCTCACAGTCTACCTTTAAGTAATATTATTCCACTTTGCATATACTATAATAAATTTACAGTGCACCTCCATTTCTCGCATCCACGTCTTTGTGCTATTGTTGTCATTTACTTTACTTCTCCGTATGTTATATTATAAAGCACCCAATACATTGTTATTATTTTTCCTTCAATAGTTAATTATCTTTTAAAAAGATTTAACTAATAAGAAAAGTATTCTTAACCCATGCGGTTACCAGTTTTGGTGCTCCTCATTCTTATGTGTAAATCCAGGTTTCCGTATGGTATAATTCTACTAACACAATTTTCTTTACCATTTCTTATAGTGCAGCTCTATACAATTTTGTACATCTAAAAAGTCTTTATTTTGCCTTTTTTTCTAAAGACACTTCACTGAGTAAAAATTTCTAGGTTGATAGTTTTCTTCTTTTAGTACTTGAAAGATGTTGTTCTGCTGGCTTCCAGCTTCCATTGTTTCCAATAAGAAAACTACAGTCATTCTTATGTTTGTTTCTCTGTACGTGTGTCTTTTTTTCTCTGACTTCTTTTACGATTTCCTCTTTATCACTGATTTTTATCAATGTGATTATGATGTTTCTTGGGTAGTTTTACTCATGTTTCTTTTGTTTGGGGTTCACTGAGCATCTTGGATCTGAAGTTCTATAGTTTTTATCAAATATCAACAAATTTGGAAAAATTTTAGCCATTATTTCTTTAACTTTTTTCTGCTCCTGACTCTCTCTCCTCTTCTTCAGATGATCCAATTACATGTTTATTTGACTACGTCTACTTGAAGTTGTCCCACAGCTCACTGATATGGTACTCTTTTTTTCTTCTTTTAGTTTTTTTAGATAGTTTCTATTGCTATACTTCAAATTCACTAGTCTTTTCTTCTGCAATGACTAATCTATTGTTAATCCCATTCAGTGCATTTTTCATTTAACACATATCTAGACACTTGATGTGGGTATTTTTTTCTGTCTTTCCTGTCCCTGCTTAACATGTTCAGTCTTTCCTCTAACTTATTGAACATATGGAATACAGTTGTAATAACTGTTTTAAAGCTTTTGTCTATCTTATCATCTATGTCATTTCTTGGTGCATTTCAGTTGATTTTTCTACTTATTATTGTTCATATGTTCTTGCTTCTTTGCATGCCTGGAAATTTTTTATTGGATGCAAGATATTGATATTGTTGGATACTTGATATTTTTATAGTCCTATAAATAGTCTTGAGCTTTGTTTTGGGATACAGTTAGGTTACTTGGAAATAGTTTGATCTTTTTAAGTCAAGCTTTTAAAGCTTTGTTAAAGAGGACCAGAGAGGCATTTACTCTGGGCTAATTTTGCTCAGCTACCAAGGCAGAACTCTTCTGAGTGGTCTACCTAATGATTCATGAGTTTTGGGGATTTTCTACCTTGGTTGGTGGAAATAAACACTATTCTTGGTTCCCTGTGCAGAAATTCCAAGGATTGTTATTTCTAATTCTGGTTCTTTCCCCAGCCTCAGGTGGTTTCCTCATGCATGTGTGCTAGTCATTACTCAGCAAAATAATTGAGAGGATCTCTCTGCTGATTACTCAAAGGGACCTTCTGCAGATCTTCAGAGTTCTTTCTATGTGCACGTCCCTCCTCTTCAGCTCTCTGATCTGTGAATTCTAGCCACCTTGGGCTCACCAGATTCCCAGCTCTATCTCTTCAACTCAAAGAAACTACCTGGATCTGCCTGGGTTCGCCCTCTCTGCACCGTGGCCTAGAAACTCTTTCCAGACAGTAGGATGTGGCAATTGTGAGGATAACGTCGTTTGTTTCCCATCTCTTGGGACCACTGTTTTGTGCTGGCCACATTCAATGTCCTGTAAACCATTGTTCCATATCTTTTTGTCCAGCTTTTCAGTTGTTTCAGGTGTGAGGGTAAATCTAGTCCCTATTAATCCAATTTAGTTGACATAGAAGTCATTGCAATAGTGTTTTAATGGATGAATAATCTAAGGATATAACAGTAACTTGGGGTATAATGGTCTACCCTGTATAAAGGACTTCTCGCATTTGTCTTATATATTATTGTGTTTTTCCATAACTTTTCCTCCAGTGATGATTTTAATACTTCTGTTGTTTATGCAACTTCGTTGCAATTTCCCTGTATCACATTATCTTTTTTTTAATCTTATCCTATTGTATTTTCATCTCAACTTGCTCACCCCTAAGACTTTCTGTTTCTGTTTAATAGAGAGTATATCTTTGCAACCTGCTGAGGGTCTTGTCCAGTAGGAAATTCTTTCCAAAGATCTGAGTCCTTTGAGACTTCAGGATGAAGCTTCCTTTCCTTGTTTTGCAGCTCTATTTCATAGGCTTCATCTTGCTCTCTTTATGGGGCCCTTTGTAAAATACAGAGTGTGTCAGTAACCTTTGGTCTCTCACACTGTCCGTCTGGATGATGGTTAATTCCCTTTTCAGACCAGGACCTGACCTGTAGGCTTTCATCCAGCACAGACCTGAGATGGAATGTTTGCTCCCATTGCTTGGAACTTTGGCTCTCTGAATGAAGAGTGTACTAGTACATTGCCTTTCCCAGCAGGCATTACTATCAAGGCTCTCTCTCCCTCTGCCTGTGCCTCCAGCACTTTATTACTTGGTGGTATTACAACACCTAAGTTGGATTTTTCACTGTCAATCATCCTTTTACTTTTTCCTGTGTTTTCTGTGAGTTGCAATCTCTTACTGGATATAGAGTGGCTAGGGGAAGACAGATAGCACTCAAAGTGCCTCAAAAATGCATAATTTACATGGTAAAATATAAGTGCCTGGTTTTCTGGTTGGTAATAACCTTATACTTCTGAATCAGAGAACAAAAGTGTGGAAGGGACAAAGAGTTTTCTTACCTCTGAGAAGGAAAATTTCAGAGGGAAAACTTACCCTATTCCTGTGGCATAATAAGCTACTTCTGCATTTTCTTACTCCAACTGATTTGGCTTGTAGTTAGTCAAAATTCTTCCTAGTTTCCGTAAATTAGTTGATTTTAAATCTCAGTTTTTTTCTTTTGAATATTCATCTTTTTATTTATCTCTAAATGTATTCCAGAAAAAAATTGTGAAAGAGCACATTGGTAAATGATCAATAGTCTGGGTTTTGGAATCCTAGCCAAAATTACCTCTACAAATTGGGTGTGTTCCAAAAAGTTAGGCTAAATGATGTTTGCCTGTTGGCTATTGATATTACTAAAAATCACTACCATTTTTTTCTGAAAATTCAGAATATAGATGGATTTCTTACAAGGATATAGATTCTAAAGGGGTCAGAATGGAGTCCATTCAGAGAGTATGAACTCCACAAACTGGATTTCTAGGGCCATCGATTTGGTCATATCTATGTAACCAAAGCTTTTGAAGATAATTATATAAAATTCTTGCCTCTACCATGAAAAGGATGGGGAAACATAATATTTACTAAACATTAAATGTCCTTGGATGCTTTCCTTTTGCCTTTGCAGAATCAAAAATCACTGAGAAGCAGGTGCCAGCTAAAGACCAAGTGGCTGCAACCCCTCTGGGAAACCCTGTTGCTCAATCTTCAGGCTCAGAATCCCCCATAGTGTACCTGAAGGATGTTGTATGTTACCTGTCCCTGCTGGAGACGGGGAGACCTCAGGATAAGCTAGAGTGTAAGTACTCGCCCTGTCAAGGGACTTTGACTTTCTCCTACAGGAAGAGCCAGTGTCCTGTCTATCTTTCTAAACATGCTGGAGATTGATCCGGGATCATGGGTATGGGTGCTGCCTCCTTGAGGGAGGTCTACGGCCTGTCACCAGCAGATAGGAGCATCTCCTAGAATCCACCCTGGGACACAGTACCTGTTGTCTAGAGAGTGGGAGATACATCTGAAATCTTGATGTTGAGAACCAGGATTTGAAAGGGAAGGGGTCTCTGCAAGTGGTGAAGACTCCCTTCTCTTGCTGGCAGGACTTCTGCAAAGCCTCCAATCAGAAAGCGGCTGCCTCCTCTTAGTAGATTTTTCAAGGAACAATATTCCACATCTATCTTCCCTCCCCTATTCCATGCCCAAGTGACTCTTTAACAATGAGGAATTTTTTTTCCTTGAGATCGCATCAACCTCTATCTTATTTCCATTTCTTCATCCACTCCCACCCCAAGTTTTTTGGCCTCTAGAGAAAGAAGGCTAGTGAATTAAGGGAGTTGAGCTGGGTTTCATGGTGCTACTAAGTTGGTTTCAAAAACAGATCTTCAGGAGGAGAGTAATAGCTGGTGGCGGGAAGGAAAGCCCACAGTGACTGAAGCGGCCTGCAGTCTTATAAATGAGTCCCTCCAGGGGCGGTCTCGCTGGCCTCTGGGAACCTATGGCAAAGTTTTAAAACAGGAAATGATAGGACCGTGTTAAAAAATATATATATTGTTTTAGCTTCTCTTGGGAACTTAGTAGAGATTAAGGGGAAAATGTACACATTATAGCAAAAGTCAAAAACCCAGCTAATAATTAGACTAGTCAGCAAAACTTAAACATTAGAAAAGAAAAGTCTGGCAAAGGTTAACCCTTGCCAAAAACAAAATGAAACAGTTTGCTCATTAGCTGAGCTTAAAATCTCCCGCATAGGTTTGAGGTGTCAACACTTGCAAGTCTCAAGTGCCAATTTGTTGGCACATGTAGCAGATTTCTGTTTCTTCTAGCTAATGTTAAAAGACATGATAACCAAACAGGTATCTTTTTGGAAATAGTAGCCTGAAATCCCACCTATCACTAATGCAATAATTACAATAATAACACATCACTAACACCTTATATTTGCTAAGCACTTTAAATGCATTATGTCATTTTAACCTTACAATATTCTAGAATGTCAATATGATTATTCTCATTTTACATGTAAGAAAGAACAGAAAGGTTAAATGACTTGCCCAAGGCTGTGCTGCTACATAGAATGCTTACTCACATTTTCTAGTTTTACTCTTCATGCCCAGAAGGACCGAAGAAAGCGCCATGTTAGAGAGTCTCCTCAGCCTGGGGTCCGGGAACAACACTAGTGGGAAGGTCTGTCCTTCTTTACATCGTTCAACCATCTCTGTGGCGAGTCAGCTTCATATACTGAGTGCCTCTGACCATGACATTCTGAGCAGTCACAAAGAGTCAGAAGCCCTTGACCCTAATTTTAAATAACTTGAACTCCAACCAGGAACTCGCCACTGAACAAAACACAAGTTGCGGAGACATTAAAACGTGTAGAAGGAAGCGACAACACAAGGGTAACTTAAGAGGAACACTGTGACCCTGTGGGCATGTGCTGAGAGACTCAGAGTGGTTGCATGGGGGAAGAAAGGGTGGGTCAGGGGAGGCTCCAGAGAGAAGGTGGGCATGATGAAGGGTTTTAAAGGATGAGAGGGAAATGAAAACGTGTTCAGCTCTGCTCCCCATCCTGCTTACTTCTGGGACCACAGACAGGATCTCTACCTTTTAGTTGAAAGAAATGCAGGTTTCCAGGTCCCATAAATGAACATTTAGTCCTTTGCTCAAATTTCTCTCCCAGATCTTCCTGATCCACCATCACCTCCCTGCCGCTGGAAGGCGATAGAGGGTGTTTCTGAATAGCATATGGATTTTAGGAAAAGGATAGAATAGCTTCTGTAATAGTAACTACTTCATAGGATTATTGAGGATTAAGTAACAATGTGCATAGGACAGTTCATTGTCATATTAAATGCCATATGTAAATGTTCATTAATGAAAGAAAATAACATCTTTTGAGTGCTTTCTACATTCCTCATTTAAAAAACAAACCTAGGAGAAAGAAACTATTATAATCTCCATCTTACAGATGAAAAAACTGAGCCTAGAGAAGTTAAATGACTTATTTGACACCCTAAAGGTGGTAGGGAAGAGCCAAGATTTGAATCTACCTAATTCCACACCCTTTCTGTGTGCAATAGAAGCAGTGTCCTGTCTATAATTCTGGTGCCTCTGCTCCACCACCGGCTGGGCGTTTGCTTTGAGTTGTGTTCCAGTGATCCTGAGAAGTGTGAATGCTCTATGGGGAATCACACTCGTGACCTGATCTCATCAACCACAGAGTTGTTGCTTCAACAGCCCCAGAAGCCAAGTGGCTTGGTTGTCCTCCTTCTTCCCACCCTCTCCGTAAGGAGGTCAGACTGTTCCTTGGAGGGTGGGTGAGTTGGCTGCAACAGCCCTCACCCCAGTGACGGTCAGAGCTGATCTAAAAACTGGCAGCAACAAAGCCTCAGCCCATCCTGGTGCCTGGAGGACACCTCAAGCCTCACCTCTGTGTTTCTTGCAGTTATGTTTCGTCTCTATGACTCGGATGAGAACGGTCTCCTGGACCAAGCGGTAAGCTCTCCAAATATCCTTCCTGGATCTTAGAAAGGCTGGGGGAGAGGGGAGCAGATGGAGGAAGAGTCTGAACTCTCAGTTCCATCTTTATAGGAATAGCAATGTCTCAATATGGACTGCAGAAATGAATAGAACCCCCCACCTTCTACTTCCTGAAAGAGAGTGAACTCCAACTTGCCTTTTATTCCAGAAGTCCAGGATCATAAAATCTCAGAATGGGGAGATGCTTTAGTATCTCTTCTAGTTTAACTTCCCATTGGGTTCAGAAATTCCCCCTGCAATTTCCTGCCAGGTCCCAGGGGCAGAGAGGAGAAGGATGAGGGAGGCAGCAAGACCAGGACAAGAGGACAGGAGGTTAACTGCTGGTGTGCTTCGGCATCACCCTGGCCTTCCTCTCATACCCCAGGACACTAGCTCTCGGAGTCTGGTTCTGTCTACTCTGAGCACATAATCTCATCCCTTTGCACCTGGGAAAGCCTGAGACTCGCCCCCCACCTCGCCTCAGGAATAGGCAAGGATAGGTCAGGGATCATGGAGTGAGAGGAAGAGTGGAAATGGAAGAAGGCAGAAAGAGGAGAAGGCACATAGAGTCAGATAGGCCTTGTCTTCATGACTGGCAAGGTCAGAGATGGGACTCATTAACAGAAAGACTCTGAGGTTGAGGTGCATGGGGCTGATTCAGACCAGAGGGAGGAAGAAAAGAAACAAGTCCACTAGACCAACTAAGACATCCTTATTCCCTCCAACCCCAAAGTGTCTTTATGGGATCCCTACAGCCACATTGCAGTGCTGTGGGTTGGGTCATGCCGGAGAAAAACCAGAGAATCACAGACTCTCAAACATTTGGTCAACACACATTTATTGAGTGTCTACTCTATGTCAGGCACTATTCTAAGCACTGGAGATGCATCAGTGAGCCAACTGACAAAAATCCATGCCCTCACGAAGCTTTCATTCTAGTGCAAACATGCACACTAAAAAGCATAGTAAAATATGTGTTAGATAGAGACGTGTGCAAGAAGAAAAACGAAGGAGAGAAAGGAAGAGTTAGAGGGAGCTGCAGTTTTAGCAAGAAGAGCCAAGGAAGGTATCCCTGAGGAGGGGACATCTGAACAGAGACTTGCAGGAGGTAAGGGAGTAAGTCATGGGGATATCTAGGGGAAGCACCTTCCAGGCAGAGGGAACAGCCAGAGCAAAGGTCCTGAGGGGTGCCTGGAATGTTAGCGGGTTAACTAGGAGCCCAGAGTGACTGGAGTGGAATGAGGAACAGATGAGGTCAGAGTGAGTAAGTAATAAGAGATGAGATCAGAGAAGTAATGGGGGAGGAGGTACTTGCAAAGCATTATCAAGTCTTACAGGTGGTTGAAAGGGTTTATCTTTTATCTGGAGAAATGGAGAACCAATGGAGATTTTGAGCAGAGGAGTGATATGATTGAGTTAGGTTTTAACAGGACCACTCTAGCTGCTATGTTGAGCCCTAGACTACAGGAATGCATGCAGAGATACCAGCTGGGAGGCTATTGAGATAAGCAAGACAAGACATGATGGCAACCTGCCCCGGGGCAGAAGCATTGCAGGTGGTAAGAAGGGTAAAATTCCAGATATATTTGGAAGGTAACATGGTGGACTGAAGCAAGTCTCAAGAGTTATTGATTCAACTTTCCGCCAAGAATCCCTGGCAGTTGGACTCCCAGCCTCTTTATGAATGCACCCAGTAATGGAGAGGTCACCCGCTCCCTTAAAACAGCCACTCCACTGCTGGGGATGACCGTTAGTTAGAGAGGGGCTTCCTTGCCACACAAAAGCATCTATAGTCTGCCAGGGAAATTTTCAACACAAAACCTGATTCTGTTCTCCCTCCCCCTCCCCCAACCCAGTGGTGAGGCCAAAACAGGCCAACCCTCAACTCCTCGCTCCCTGCATCCCTCCGTGGCCTACTTCTGCCCTCGGTAGCTGACCAGGACAGCTGACCAGTGGAATACCGATTCTACACAATAAGCCTTCAAGTATTTGAAGGTACTATCACATCTCCCCTAAAATCCTCCCCAAACTAAAACTTCCTAATTCCTACCCTGTTTCTCATAAGGCAGGCTTAAATATCCACTCTGGTCAAGCTCTGATTTGTCAGTGCCATTCTTGAAACATGGCACAGAACTGAACCCACCCCTCCATGACTCTTTAAGCATCTACATGTGGCCTGCCCACGGTAGACATCAGGGGAACTAGTTCTTCCTGAAATCTTCCCACTCTGCTTCCAGGAAATACCCAACCCATTTCACAGCCCAAAACTGAGTCTAATTCTCGACTCCTGAATCACATTGTTTTATCATTGAATCTTGGACCCAACTAGATTCACAAGCTCTTTTCCATTGGAGCTTCTGCTGAACCCTGTCTCCACCTTTCTGCCCACTTCCTTACCCCTATCTACTGCCTCATCTGAGGCTTTGCAATGGCTTATTTTTTAATTCAAATGAAATACATTTTTTAAAATCCCTGTTGGTTTTTAGCTTGCTTGTTTTGACCCAGCATTCTACATGGTGGAGGTAACACATTTGAACCTTGTCTCATTCACCAACGTGTCTCCCCAAATCAAGCTTAGAATGAGCATCTTAGATGGTGCCCAAGAGATGCAAATGCCTCCTCCTCAGTCCAGGTTGTTTCAGTGGGACTCTTGGTGCACAGATTCATTAGCCTCCAACAATTCTCTGAGGTTTTATATGGAGCCTGGCCTTGGTACCAAACAAAAGACTCACTCATCAAGCAAAAGTACCCTCATGTATTTCCTGCTCACAGAGTCCTGGGCTCAGGGCTGAACAGGACGCAAAGGGAAAGAGGAGATGCCGAAGGAATCTAAGTCATAGTGCCTGAGCTAGGACCAACACAGTGGCCCTACATCCAACTGAAACTGACCCTTGGGGTGTAGATGGAGCGCAGGTTGCTAAAGCTGTGGGAGCGAGGAGTGATAAAGAAGGGAGGAGAGAACTGCCTTCATTTGTAAGTATTTGAGGGAGCTATGATCACAAAGGAGAAAACAGGAGTGCTTTCTATGCTAAGTCAAAGCACAAGATAGGCAAAGGAAGGTGAGTCTGGGTAGGTCCAGGAGGAGGTCGTGTTCAGTGAGCTTTCTGCATACCTCTGGCTTGTCCATGTTTTGTCCTTCTTGTGAGCATCTGCTCTCCAATGAGCTTTGTGGTTGAGGCAGAACTAAAGAGCAGAAGCAAATGGGGCACTCCTCATGGAAGGCCAGTTTATTGCACTGGCTGCTTCTCATGCTCTGCCCTGCCCACTTTCCCACAGGGTTTGATTTTGAGTCGTGCTCTTGAAAACGCATCTTCAGTTGGTTTCTCACCTTGATGTTTTCTAGGAGATGGATCGTATTGTTAACCAAATGCTGCACATTGCCCAGTATCTCGAGTGGGATCCTACGGAGCTAAGGCCTGTGAGTTTCCAGAAGCACAGGGCGACTTCCAAGCGAGCTTCCATGATTAGAGGGGACACAATCAGGACTTGGATACAAATGTTTATGGTGCAGGCTCTCCCAGACTCATCTTCTTATAGACAGCTTCTCTGGAGTCCTACACCTTGACCTCTCATTTCTCTGATAGGAAAAATTGTAGACAGCAGGGAAAAGTGCTGACATAGTTCAAATGATAATTCCCAATTCCCCCTAACCTTTTCACCAGAGCTAATTTTCTTTCCCCTGAGGAAGATTCACCCTGAGCTAACTTCCATGCCAATCTTTCTCTATTTTTTAGTATGTGGGCCGCCAGCACAGCACGGCCACTAACAGAGCAGTGTAGGTCCACACCCAGGAACCAAACCAAGGCCACCAAAGCAGAGCGTACTGAACTTAACCACTAGGCCTCCAGGGCTGGCCCCAGAGCTAAAATTTTATAACAGGAGTTCCTAGATCAAAGAATTTAGAGCTATAAAGGATTTTACAGATTTTTCTCAATCACCAGATTATATTAATAGTAATCATTAAATTTGGGGGCTCCAATGAGTCAGGCATTATATTAGACATTTAATATACATTTTCTCTAATCCTCACTACAGTGCTGCAGACATAGCAATCTTATTTCCATTTTACAGATGAGCAAAGCAGAGCCCAGAGAGTCAGGGTGGCTTGCCCAACGCCACTGAGTCACGTTGGGGCAGAGCCAGGCCTGGAACACTGGTCTACTCACCCCCATTTGCTCCCTTACTGCTCTACTCACTGTGAACAGAGGGGAAAGGGGTAAACACAAGCCAGATCATGCAGAACAAAAGAGAGTGAAGAGGGCAGAGGGAGGCATTGTAGTCGAGGATCGATGTGGACGATTGTTGCTCTGTGGATTCCGCAGATATTGAAGGAGATGTTGCAAGGGATGGACTACGACCGGGACGGCTTTGTGTCTCTACAGGAATGGGTCCACGGAGGGATGACCACCATCCCATTGCTGGTCCTCCTGGGCATGGACGACTCTGTAAGTAAGCAAACCTGAGTTCAAAGATCTCTTGCCCTTTAGGAACATCGGCCTCCACGTGGAAGTTAATCTCTACACGTGACCTTGGCTTCTGCCCTGGACTTCTCAATGGACACACCATATGCTCTAGACCAGCCCAAAAGTCCTCTCTCTCTACCTAGTAGTGCCAGAAATATGTTCCTTCATTTGACAGACATCTACTAAATTATTACAAAATAAAGATACTGTCCTGAGCACCGTGAGGGGACACGGATACAATATTCACCCGCCAGGAGCTTATACTCAACCAGGCAAAGTGCAAAAAAATCAATTTAAGGAAGAATTCCCTCTTTTCCACAAATTAAGTTAAAAAATACTGACAGAGTCAGGGAAGGAAGGAAGGGGAAGAAAAAATGCTGATCTGTTGTAGGGTGGAAGGCTTTAACGATAGTATCTTATTTAACAATCAAAACAACCAGGTAAGGTAGATATTTTTTTCCCCAGTTTGTACAGATGGAAAACTGAGATTCTGAGCCTGAGGAGCAAAAGGAAGAGCCAGAATTTATTTGTACTTGACTCTAAAGATTCTGCACTTTCTAACATCCCACATTTAGGAGTGAGACCAACGGGAAGAAACCCTGGAGGGTGTTTGCCTGGCCCTGAAGAATACATGGGATTTTGATATCCCATTCTTGAGATAAAGATCAAGTGGAAGGACCTAGGAGGATATTTGATCTGGCTCTCAAGGATGGGTATCGTTTGGGTGATAGAAGATGGTAGAAGAGAGACCTGGAGAATAGCTTGATCAAAGACCTAAATGAAAGAAAGTTCAGATGGTATTAGAGAAACCCCCCAGTTTGATCATAGCAGGGGGCACATGTAGAGGCTTAATGGAAATCAGTGGTTATATATGCCAGCATCTGACCTAGTCTGCTTATTTACCAAATGAAGTAACTTCCATACATGAGGTAGGGATAATTGGAACTAGAAGTACAAATGGTCACATAAGCATTTACCGGGACAGTCACACAGGTTGTGTGACAACACCTCTTGGAGATCACTGAAATGTCAAAGAGAGGAATAGAACAGGAAGTTCAGCTGGGTTAGCCTGTAACTGACTGTTGTTGCCTGTAATGTCTCCACCTGACAGTTCTGCGATTCAGGACTAAAGCTGAACCTTCATTTCCAACACTCAAGAACTAAGAATCCTGCAGTCATCTCCTAGCATGCCCAGTTCTTTCCAAGTGCTAAGTAGAAATCAAGGAACCAGGATCTACATAATTCCCTTCTTATTCCTTAGAACCCTAGAAAGTTAGAACTGGAAAAGACCTTGGTGACCCCTGGTCTACCCCTTCATTTTACCAACCGAGGGCCAGAGAGGTAAAAGGACTTGTCCACAGACACCTACTTAGTACCAGAGGCCATCTTTCATCTTCAGGAACAGCAGACCCCTTGTTCAATGATCCCTTACCGAGAACCTACTGTGTGCAAGAACCCACCTGTGCTAGAACCTGGGGGCACTCAGATAAGTAAGATATACTTTCTGCTGTCAATACTCAAGATTATACTCAAATCAAAGTACAAGTTCTGCTTGGGTGATGTTCCAACATACATGTTTTTTCTCTGAAACATGGGAATAGAGATGAGACATTTTAATCACAAGGAACCAATTCCAATTTCCTGTTTCCTATTTTGGACTTGCTGAGTCCAAAGTGCCACTAACTCTTTGCATGGAGGGGATCCTCTGTTTTATGGATGGAGGAGGGAGAGAGAGACTGTTTCTTCAACATTCCCTCCATTTTCTCCCCACAATGCCAAATCAACTTTGTAAAAAACCATACTTTTACATCAGGAAAGTGGGATACAAAAAGCAAATGTGGGTTTAGTTTTTATTAGTCAAAAGTTTTATGCATTTATTTTTAAACATGCACTAAATCATAAGTTTTAACATTTAATATTTGGGGTTCTAGAGAAAGTATTCTTCAATTCTTAAAAGTCACACTGCTTGTTTGGGTTTTTCAAAACCCGCATATGGCCACTGAAAAGTCTGGGGATCTCTGAATGGGATATATGAGAAACAATCTGTCTCCCAGCGAGATCGCAGCAGCAGCATAAACCCTGGCGTTGCCTGAGGAAGGTTACTCCCACAGCCTGCAGCCTCTAGAGTGCAGACATGAAACAGCCACATGATGGTGCTATACTCCAAGTGGAAATGTTCCTTTAGCCCAAGCCAGAGTTGTTTTGCTTCTCAACTCTGTATCTCTGAAAATAGTATCTGAGAAAGGGAGAGTCTGCTAACTGATTTAGCTAATGAAGGTATTTTCAGATAAAATGACAGTCCTTTGGGCTGCATGAAGAAGCAGCTGGGTCTGCTGAAGAGTGCTGTAATTTCCCCTCTGTCCATGGAGGAAAACCCTGGTTTGTGGAGGTAAAGGAGGAGGATGGAAGAAACATGGGCTCTCAGGCCAGCAAGAGCCCCCAGTTTGACTACTGGCTCAGTCGCTTATTATTTCTGTGGTCTTGGGCTATTTATATAAACTCTCTGACCTCTGTTTCTTCATTTTTAGAATAGATATAAATCTACCTCCTTATACAGAAGAAAACACTCTACTTATTTTTGTGTCCTTTACTGTCTACCACAGAGTAGGAACTTAACAAATGTTTTCATTTACAATGTGTCAGGCACTGGATTAGGAGCTTTACTTCTGTTATTTCATTTAATTCTTACAAAAATCCCTTGAGGTGGAGGTTCGGCAAAAGAATGAATGAATCAGTCTTTTAGTGAACCATTTAATCAATTAGTGAACCTATTTACTATAGTTGAAGCCATTAGATAAAAAGGCTTTCATTCCATAAAAGTGAGGTCTTGGAAGAAGCAAGGTTTTGAGGTGGCGAGAAGAAAAGAGCTTATCCTGGCCCCAGGAGGAGACCAGCATGTGGAAAAGCTTATGGCCTCCCCTGGAGACCCTGCAGAAGAGTCAGGCGCAGGAATGGGTCTGGCTGCCGTGATTAGCCCAAACCAGAGAGGCCCAGAAGTAGGAACTGGGTTTGAATCCAGCACGTTGGACTCTAGGTACCTGACTGGCAATCATCACCACCTTACTACAGTACTTTACTACCCTTAAGACCAGCCTGAGTGTCACTCTTTTGATGGAGCCTATGAGAAAGTTTCAGGGACATCACCCGTGGAGGGACTGTGCTCCCAGGGGCTGGCAGGTGGGAGCTTTGGTGTCCAGAGAAAGTGTGTGATTATATGAGGCTTGGCCCATCTAGTGGAGAAGTTGAATTCACTTCTGAGCCAAGTCAGGAGGAAATGGCTTAACCTTCCCTCTGTCTCTTTACTATTTTATCAGTATACAGACAGTTGATGAGAGGAGCACATTGTTCTTCCTAAGCTATTTTTTCCTGATTATAAAACTAGTAAATGCTCACTGTAGAAAATTTGGAAAAACAGAAGAAAGGAGAAATTCAAGAATAAAATAACTCTGTAGTACTGCTAGCTATAGCTAACCTCTGTTAACAGTTTAGTGACATTTCTTCCATCAAAGGTCTTATTATACAAAACTGAGATCACAATGTGTCATCAAATTTGCATTCTACTTTTTTCACTTAGCTTTGTGTCATAAGCACATTTCCATGCCATTAGATAATCTTATAAATATATTTTTGGTGGCCACTTAACATTAAATCATATGGATGTGCCACAACTAACCTTTTGGTAATTTTGAGACCTTTAGATATTTCGTTTTTCATTATTTTAAGTAATGCTGTGTTAAACATCTGACAGAGCACAAAAATACTCATTTGTCTTTCAAAAATTCTTTAGGATAGAATCTAAGAAAGAAAATGTATAACTCAACATTGTCAACATTTAAAGGATCTTTAGATAAATAGATTAGATAGAGAGAGAGAGACAGATGGTAGATGATAGACAGACAGATGATAGATGGTAGATAGGTAGATGATTAGATAGATAGAAAGATAGATGATAGATACATAGATGATAGATGTGTAGATAGACAGACAGTAGATAGAGCTTAGATAGATAAACAGTAGATGATAGATGGTAGTCGGATAGATAAATGGTAGATGGTAGACAGATAGATAGATGATAGAGGGTAGACAGGAAGGTAGGTAGGTAGATAGATAGGTAGATAGACAGGCAGACAGACAGATAGAAAGTTTGCACTGATTTACACTTCCACTAGCCGTGTAGGAAAGGGCTTATTTTATCCCCAACGCACATGTTCCTACTCAGGTATTCCTAATTTTTAATATATGCTAATTTTAGAAAACGCATATACACCCAAAGGACTTTGTTTCAATTTGAGTTTCTTTTGAAAGAGTCCTTAAAACAGTTAAATAAGTAAATATCTTGTCTTCCAAATATGAGAAGAAAATTGTTTTAGAGAAAAGAAAACCCTAAGCATGGGGCTGCCTGCTCAGCGTCTCCCTCCTCTGCCATCCCTGCAGGGCTCCAAGGGGGATGGGAGGCACGCCTGGACCATGAAACACTTCAAGAAACCCACCTACTGCAACTTCTGCCACATCATGCTGATGGGCGTTCGGAAGCAAGGCCTGTGCTGCATTTGTAAGTAAACTTCCTTCAAACCTTTTCCCCAGGCGCTGTCTTGCTCTGCACACGGTTGAGCCATTCCAAGGAAAGTCTAGGTATTTCTGCTTACTAGCTTAAAGGACCACCCATATTGTTCCAACAGCAGGGAATAAAGCAAGACTTTCATATGCTATTTTTGTTCTACCCAAGTCAAATGAGCAAGTATTGTCCTATTGTTGGAGTCCTGTCATGGGCCACTGACTCCCTAGAAAACAGTTAAGGTTCACATATAATTAAAAAGCATCACATACTAATTTTAGTTGGGTTTTGCTTGTTTATTTGGGGTAGTTAGAAGAATTTGGGTTTTTTATTCATAAGCAATATAAACCTATATTTGTAAATGCAACGGAAATTAAAACTGTTTGTTTCACTGTATAATCCATTCAGTGAAGTCAGACAGGAGAGGAGGAAAAAACACCTGTAGAAAAGGAAGGAGAGAGACCTTCCTTTTCAAGAGAAGGAGATAGAGGAGCGGGAAGGAAGAGGATTAAAGATCCTTTAAATGTTTACAATGTTGAGTTATACATTTCCTTTCTTAGATTCTATCCTAAAGAATTTTTGAAAGACAAATGAGTATTTTCAAGAGAACAAGAGAAGGAGATAGAGGAGCGGGAAGGAAGAGGGGCCCGCTAGGAAAGAGGGGGCATAAAAGGAGCAGAAGCCTTTGTAAGGGCCAGGGTATGAGCAGACAGAGACAGTAAACACTCAGCCTGAAGGCACCAGGGCCTGGGGAGCTGCTCCTGCAGGGAGGGCCCTCAGGTACGGTCCAGGTCACCAAAGTGTTTCATCGAACATGCACACATGAGCTAGGCAGCAAGTGACCTCGGTCACAAATGTCATCTGAGAAGAGCTGGGCCCGGCGTCCACCAAGAGCAAGCATCAGGAGACTAAGGAAGGGGCCCACCGGTCTTCCAGCACCTGTTCAAATCCAGTTCTCACCCAGTCTTGTCCCTATTAGGTTCTAGGCGTGTGGGCCTCTGCTGTTTGCATGGTAGTAAGTAGTAACAACAATAACAATAATAATTTGTGGAATAGCTATTCTGACCCAGTCATATGGTGCTTTATTATAATTATCTCATTTAATGCTGCAAAAGCCCTGCTAAGAGAAAGAGGCAGTTTTATTCCCATTCTGTAGAAAATCCTGTATTTCAGAGATGTAAAGCAACTTACCCAGGATTACGTGAGTAGTCACAAGTGGCAGAGCCAGAGTTCGGGCCCAGGCCTGCTTAACTCCAGAGTTATTAGGAAGAGCCCTGGCCTTTCTATCCACTCCCCCACATCCCCAACATACAGCACTGTGGCACTGGCATGGCAAGGAGGCAGACCCCTCCCGCTCCTTAAGCAGAAAGCAGCTTTCTGGGGATGTTTTCCTGCCGTGTTCACTGCCCGCAGCGGAAGGCAGCGTAGTGAGGTGCAGGATGCAGAAGCATGTCTGGGAGATAGCTGTGGATTCTCTTCTCAGTGAACAACTGGAGACTTTTTTGAATTTCCATTAGGCAAGCCCAGCTCCCTATGTCCCCTGCCGCTGACTGGCCACCCAGAGGGAGGCACGGGCCTCAGCCGGAGTGAGGGTGGGGGGATGGCTGGACCTTTCCTAGGTGGTCACTCACAAAAACTTTCCTTTTTTTCAGACTGTAAATACACTGTCCATGAACGCTGTGTATCCAAAAACATTCCTGGATGTGTCAAAACGAACTCAAAAACCAAAAGGAGTGGTGAGGTTGGTGACAGCTATTGCCTTGTTCTACTGCATGCTGTGTCCAGGGCAACATGTCCATCACCATGGATTCCTGGGCAGGAAGGGGCTTTGGGAGTTTTATCCAGTCTCTTCCCTGCCTCGAGGACCACCCTTGAACCATCCCGTTCATCCATCAAACCATTCAGCATCTCCCTGGTGCCCACCGTGTACCAGGCACTGTGCTAGAGGATACACAGGTTAGAAGATGGTCCCCACCTGCTGGAGAACTGTGTAGTCTAGTGGGAGAGAGACGGACATGTAAGCAAAGTTCAAAGAGGTGAGATGTACGGTGACAATAGGGCTATGTGCGACATACAGCTGAGGCACCAAGGAGGAGGCCGGGGAAGCTTTCACAAAGGAGGTGGCATTTGACTTGTGTCTTGAACCCAGATCAGGAGGACTTCACAAGGCGGAAGAGGCCTCATGTGCAAAGGCATGGAGACATGGCTTATTCTGGGGTCTGTACTTAGTTTGGTATGACCGGGAAGGAGGATGCTTACAGGTAAATGGCAGGAGATGTGCTCTGAAAGTGGGGAGAGCCAGCCTGGGAAGGTCTTGTGAGGCCAGTGAGAGCTGGAAAGGAGTTTCCTATGCAGCTAAGGTGCCACTGAAGAGCTTTAAGCACATGAAGAGATGATTGGGTTTGCGAATTAGGCTAATCCCTCTGAGCATAGTGCAAGAGAGAGATCAGAGGGGAAAAAATTCTTCCAACAGTTCAGACAAGAGGTAGTGCTGCACTGAGGGCCCAACTGCGGTGGGGTCTGCACTCACCTGCTGTGCTCTGATATGTCTGCAGTAGCATGGTGGTAGCTATCTCTGTGCCGAGTGACCCCCAGCCATGCCAGTTGTTGAGTATTTTGATTGTCCCACTGACCAAGATAGAGGAGATGAAGGGAGAGTTTGAGAGATAATTGGGAGGTGCCACCACCAGGACTTGGTGATGGGGACGTAGGGGATGAGAAAGAGGATGAAGTCAGGAATGGCTCCCAGGTTTCTAACTTGGCCATTGGGTGGTGCCATTCAAAGAGTCTGTAAACAGACTGTCCTTAAAATTCACAGAGAAAGGTACCCTGAGTTAAAGGAGGGGGAAGATTCCATTGAGGAATCTGAGTCAGGACATGGTTAGCAGGTGGGAGTGGGATCCAGCTCTCTGAAAGGACTCCGAGAGAGAAGGGCACCTACAAGAACATGCATGCATGCCCCATGAGACACTGCATGGCCTTTTGTCTACTCCTTCTGCACCACGCCCATACACACACCTTTCCATGTCCATGCCTTTCACCAGGACACACGGCACCTCTCCTGCACTCAGACCCTAAGCTACATGGAACAGAGGGGGCCACTGAGGGGCCAACAGGGCACATTCAGGACCTTCTGAGTCTCCAGGCACCCTTCCTGAGTCCCAAGTCCTTCACCATCTCTTCTGATCCCAGAAGAGACAACGTGGACTTGGAGTCAGAAGACCTAGCTATGAGTCCCTGCTTCATCACTTACCAGCCTTGGAACCTAGGGCCAGTCACTTAACCTCTCTGAGGCCTCATTTTTTTTCTCTGCAAAATGGAAATAATAGTAATCTCAAAACAAATTTAATGTGACCATGTGGATGACAAGTTGATTAGCAAACTGGGTTCCTTCTACCCCAAGGGATGCATGGCAGAAGGTGAGAAGCTACAAAATAAACATGACACATCTTCTAAGGCAACAATTCTATCAAAAACCTTCTGGGGGGAGAGCATAACAACTTGCATGATACAATAGAATATAAACATGGGTGGTATTGTGCAAATATTCCATGTGTTTTTAATATTGTGCTTGTAGTTGGCACTTCAAGCTATGCCCCTACATTTCCCCAGAGTCCATACCCACTTCCTTCTGCTGTTTGGGGTGCCCTGGTGGAAAAGTTTGAGGTTCTGTAGAATTCCTGGAGGAGATAACTGAGGGCTTAGGCTCCCAGAATTTGGTGTCATGGGTCACTTTGGATGCACTGACACATGCTTTCCCACTTGCTTCCCAAGTTCCTGGGCTGCCGTAGTGGCATTTCCTGGCCAGGGAGCAGGTACAACCAGCTTTCCAGGAAACAGATGTGAAAGCCACTGGCTGCTGACCGCCACTAATTTCTTTGAACATTTTCTCTAACTTCCTTCTAGAGTTCTTCTCCTCAACCTTGGCTGCACATTATAATCACTCAGAGTGCTTTAAAACATACCAACGATGGGTCCCATCCCCAGAGACTCTAACTTATTTGGTCTGGAGTAAGGGCTGGACATCAGGACTTCTAGAAGCTCCCCAGTAATTCTAATGGGCAGCTAAGGCTGAGAGCCACTGGCCTACAGAAGGCAGGAGGGGGAGGGGAATTATCCATCAGTGGGCACCTCCAAAGGGCCAGGACTATGCCAAGGAAGCCGTTCCAAGTGTCCTGTCTCGTTCAATCCTCCCAACAAGTCCAGAGGTGGGGCTTATTATGCCAATATTCTACAGATGGGGGACCTGAGACTCAGAGAGATCCAGGAACTGGCCAAAGGTCACCCCGCTGCGAAGTGGAAGATCAGTGACTCCAACCAGTTTTGTCTGCAGCCCAAGCCCTGTCGTGTTTCCCTGCATCGCGCTGCCTTCCAGAAGAGGGCGCACACAAGCACGTCACTCCGCAAGGAGTTCTGCAAGGCAGACAGACTGCCAGACAAGATGCGGCTCAGGGGCTTGCCTGCCAGGGTGAATGAGCTAGTCAAAGTGTGGGCAAAGTGGTTTCTCATCTACCTTGATTAGCATGATGGTGATTAGGCAGGGAGGGACTATGTTGGTGCGATTCGGCAAGGCAACCCAGCATCCAATAAGTGCATCCACTAAACAGGAAGCCACGCCCTCTGGCCTCCCGCTGCCTGTGCTCCTCCCAGACCCTTCTCCTCAGGCCCACGGCTGGGGACCTGGTTATGCAGCCTTCCCTGGTATCCTTCCCTTCCCTCCTGCAGGTGATGCAGCACGCGTGGGTGGAAGGGAACTCCTCCGTCAAGTGTGACCGGTGCCACAAAAGTATCAAGTGCTACCAGAGTGTCACCGCGCGGCACTGCGTGTGGTGTCGGATGACGGTGGGTTGGTGCCCAGGGTGGCCCTGCTTCTTCTCAGTGTGATTATTTGCTCAAGCTGCAGCCAGAGAGCACTGTCCCACAAGAAGGCAGGAGCAGAGCCAGGGGAGCAGGGCTGCGGGGCCCAGGGGCCCCGTTCACTGCCCTAAATCTAACAGTGCCTCCAGTGAATTGCCAAGCTGCCCGGAGAGAGGGCAGCCCCAGAAAGGGGAGCAAGGGCTGCTTAAGAAGAAGCTGGCCAATCCACAGTCTATGTGGCCAGGCAGCTGTGAACAGCAGGCCAGACCATTAACTTTCTGCTCGTGGGTGTCATCTGGGGCCGGGGTCACTGGCAGAGTGGGAGTAGAATTAGATATGAGAATCCCTTCTCCTCAAGGCCTCAGAGGAAGGTACACTCCTTAGAGCATCCCCACTGTCCGGGCCAGAGGCCTGCGCCTGCCCCGCCAGCTACAGTGAATGTCCACATCCCCTCTGGACACCTGGAGCTGCCCGGCCCGCCAGCCAAAGCAAACTCAGTGCCATGTCTTGTCCCCTCCACCAGGTATCAGCCTCAGAAAGGATGTGTCTCCAAATCCGTCTGCAGAACTCTTAAAATGCTGAGCTTGACTCATGGGTTTTACTTCCAGCCTCTCATGAGTCTGTTCAACAAGATCTCCTTCCTTCCACAGTCTCAGATCCTAGGGAGCAAATAGCCAAGGGGGGGCTCTGGAATCCACATGGGGGTGCCATGCTGGAGGGTCATAGGCCTGCTCCTGACCGTTTTGCTCCAGCAGTCATGGGCAGCACTTGGTCTCCTTTATCTGCCCACGGCTAACCTGGCAACACTGATCATACCACACACACACACACACACACACACACACACACACACAGAGTTGGCTGTACTGCCAAAGCCAGCAGTGCATCAGGATTTGAGGGACCATTAGACAGCTTGCCTCCCCAGCAAACCTCTAAACTCTTATACTTGACATTTCCCTGATCACTTTCCTTCACTCTCATCTTCATTGTTTCCTCCAGTTTCACCGCAAATGCGAATTATCAACGCTGTGTGATGGTGGGGAACTCAGAGACCATATTTTGCTGCCCACCTCGATATGCCCCGTTACCCGGGTAAGTGCTGCTGCCCCGCCAGGGCTCCGGCTTCCCCCCGCTCACATTTCAGATGTAGGCAGCATTCAGACAGTCACATCCCTCAGAAGGCTTCCTCAACAATTCTTGGGGTTTGTGTTTTCGGTACAAATTTAAAAGAGGTCAGTGTTAGACCCGTCGAACTATGAGAGAAAACTCCTCTGACTAAACTGGTTCCAAGTGCTGGCCACCCAGAATGCTCTGAAATGGCCCATCAAGGAAAGCACGTTCATTCTAAGCACCTTGCAGGCAGAGCACAGCCGAAGGAAGCTCAGTCACCACCTGCACATGGCTAGGCCTCCCAGGCCTCCCTTGTCCCTGTCAACCTCTCTACTCTGTCTAAACACGGACCTCCTGCTGCCTTGAGGATCTCCACTGAGGTCTCTCAGCCCTCTTTGGAAATGAAAGCAGCAAAAGGGAACTCCATTTATCCCCATCTGAAACTTTCTCTGCCTCCCATGTTGAAGACTCCTCCACCAAACCAAGTACTAAACAACTAAATTTTTCCTTTCCCATCTTAAAGATGTTGCTGAGTCCCGCTGATTCCTAACATCTCACCCTTGACTTGACCAGCTGCTACTTTTTCGTTAAAAACCGAAGAAAAACTACCACTTGGAAAATCATGAGGCAGTATTTACTAAGTTGGAAATACACAAACCCTATGACCCAACAAGTCCCCTCCTGTGTATCTCCCTGAGAAATATGAGCATTTATTCCACCAAAAGACATGTACAAGAATGTACATATCAACTTTATCCATAACAGTCAAAAACTGGAAACAGGGTAAATGATCATTGACAGAATAGACAAGTTGAGGCATATTCGTATAATGGAATATTACACTCCAATGGAAAAGAACTCTGCTGAGATGAAAAAAATTGGATAATCTCAAAGATATAATGCTGAACAAAAGAAGCTAGACTCAAAAAATACATGCTGTATGATTTCATTTATATGAAATTCAAAAGCCAGGCAAAACCAATATGGTATGAGGAGTCGCAACAAAGTTACACCTGAAGAGGCAGGAGTTCAAGGGCATACGTATAGGCAGAAATTCATCAAGCTGTAGATTTAGATTTCAGCATTTTACTATATGTGAAATAAACCTCAATAAAATAAATAATAAATACTGAAAAACAGACATAAGAGGACAGACAAAACTAAGAAAAATGACTTACTCAATATCACATCTTTTAGATAATGCTGAGCAAAGAAGCAGATCTAAGACCTGGATTCTTAAAGCTCAAGCTTCTAAATCAACAAAGTAAATTTCCGCCAATTTCAGTGTTTCCTCTCCCTGCATCCCTTCCAATGTCTTGAGAGCAAGTGATGACAGAGGCCTGGAGAGTCCAAGAAAAACCCATAGGGGAGCATTTCTGTTTTAGGTACAAAGCCCCACTTTGAAAATCTCCTCCCCACACTATACTGGTTTTCTCTTTCTTTTTATTAACGATTTGTTTTTCTTCTGGTCTCTTCTTTTGTACTAGGCATTTTTCTTTTCAAAAGTTGCTTGTCTTTCCTCTCTTCTCACAGGACAGGCAAGGTGGGAAGTCTGATGGCAGTGTGTCAGCCAAGGGTGAACTTGTGATGCAGGTACCTCAGCAAGTCCCGAGTCTGATGGCTCATTCTAAGTTGGCCCAAGGCTGTGGAGGGGAGGACAGGGTTGGGGTTCTAGAAAGATATATCACAACATTTGCCTTCTCTTCTGATCGATTATATCACACAGGAGGATAATTTATTTCCAGCCCCTGGAATTACCTTTGACCACCACACTAGGCAAGTGGAGAGAAGGGAAGTTGGTTGATCCCATTGCTGGCCAAATTGGCTTTATCACCTTTTTGGGGAAAAGTTACATAAAACTTCAATATGCACAATAATAGCTAGAGTGTAGCCTAAAAATAGACAATGGGTTTTCCGAGACTGCCAAGCTGTCTCCAGAATGTGATTTGCCAACACAAAGCTAGCCAGATCCAAAGGTTCTTCTTCATCCATAAATGCATATTTAAGAACTCCTTTTTTACTTGGGTTCACCAATGAACATCTCTTTGTGCATTCCACAAGGTTCCAGGGAATGCAGGAAAGGCAGCCTGCTGAAGTACCAAGAGAACTAGAAAAGGAAATAGAAACTAGCGCCTCCTCCTCTGCCCCTGAGCCTGGAGCTTCCTTGTTTGAAAAGGGGCAGAGCCACCTGCACTGCCCACCTCCCAGAGATGCTCTAAGATTAAATGAGAACGTGCAGGATAGCGTGTTTTGAAAATTAAGACATAAGTAATAATGATGGGGGAACCTTAATATGTGGGAAGGCTCCAGACACCTAGAAAGGCAGCAAGCCAGGTGGAGCAGACACACACATATTCACACACACAATGCAGGCATACCAGCTGTTTACAGCTGGCATCCATCTGGTTATCCTGCATTTGTTCTGTTTGGCAGTGCCCGTGCTGTACGAGTTGTTAAATGTTTTTAATGTCACGCCCAGAGGTAAAGAATTACTCCTCAGGCTCCAAGATGTGTCTGGGTATCACACAAATAGTCACCTGGGTAGATGAGAAAATTCTTAAAAATCATAAAGAATGCTGCTGTCCGGGGGCTGGCCCCGTGGCCGAGCGGTTAAGTTCGCACGCTCCGCTGCAGGCTGCCCAGTGTTTCGTTGGTTCGAATCCTGGGCGCGGACATGGCACTGCTCATCAGACCACGCTGAGGCAGCGTCCCACATGCCACAACTAGAAGAACCCACAACGAAGAATACACAACTATGTACCGGGGGACTTTGGGGAGAAAAAGGAAAAAATAAAATCTTTAAAAAAAAAAAAGAATCATTGGAAAAAAAAAAAAAAAAGAATGCTGCTGTCCGTTTCAAACAGCATGGCACTGTGTTGGCTGAATTTTTAGCTTGAGATCTAGAAAAGCAGGATGAGATACTGAACGCAGAGCAGAGTCCTGTCTCCCCATCAGTCTGTCCTTCAGCTGAATAAGTATTTACTGAGTACCCACTCCTGTATCTGGTGGTGTGGGGTCCTTGGTAGGATGTTATATGCATACCCACCCTGCTCCTGAGACATTTAAAATCCAGTTGATATTTTGAGACATTTACCTAAGAAAATAAAATATATATATACACACAAATAAAGAACAACAAAAGAAATCCAGAAGATATGACATGGTTCAGGGGCAATAGTTTTAGTTGCAATAGTCTAGAAAAACTTCCTAGAGGAAGCAGCCCTTGAACTAGGCCCCGAGGGTGAGAAGTTTTTTGAAGAGGTTGCAGAGCAGGAAGTGGGCGTTTCAGGCATGGAGGAGGAGAAGAAACCAGTGTGAGCAGACCCCCCAGGGTGGGAATGCAGGAGACACACTCAGTGCAGAGTGAGAGCCAGGCTTGGCTGGAACTGCAGGGAGGGTGAGAGTACTTCAGAGGGAGCAGTAGAATGGGGCTATGCTGCAATGCCGTGGGTGCCAGCTGAGGAGATCTGGACTTTATCCTCTGGGCAGCAAGGCGTGGTTAAAGGTTTTCGAGCAGCAGTGGCCTGACTCATGTGCTATCCTGGGAAGGAACTCCGTGGGGGCAGCGATTGGGCTTACCTGAGGTTGGAGAGGCCCGAGCAGTATGGGTACTGCTGCCGGAGATAAAGGAATGTTCCAAGGAAAGAATTGGCAGGACAGGGTCTTCCCTGGATGACTGGATGAACACAAATAGGACCTTTAATAGAAAAAGGGATCACGAGGGAAGACCAGTTTTATGGGAAAAGCTAGGTCAGGTTTGGGGTGTGTTGAGTTTGCACTGATGGTGAGACATCTGGGCAGAGGTACTCACTGGACAATGACAAATGTGGAACCAGAGCTCAGGGGAAAAATTAGGGCTGGAAATGTGGATTTGGAAGATGCCAGGTAGAAGTGATAGTTAAATCCATGAGTGTTATTTTATTTACGTGTATGACCAGATGGCTGTACCTTCTAAGATTATATTCAGTTGTATCCCTCACAAAATATAGTCCTGTGCTGTGGTCACAATGCCACACTAATGTTGAATGATTTGAAGCTATGGTGCCATTGCCCCATCTCTGACCCCAACCTCAAACTCTTGTTGCCATTAAGCGACTTAAAGGCCACTCAAGCTGAAGATACCCAGTTGCTAAACCCCTCAGAAAACTCAGCCAGTGGACAAAGACCTACCACCCAACCACCTCTCCTCCATACCTAGAACTTCTTCCCGTCCACCTCTCCCAGAAGCTGTCATAGCATCAACTCTCATCTCGTTCCCCCTATTGACTGAAATGGAGCTAATTTCTTTTTCTTTTACCTTTTAAGTATAAGATCATCCCCACCCCGGGTACCCACCCCCTGCTGGTCTTGGTGAACCCCAAGAGTGGAGGGAGACAAGGAGAAAGGTATGTTCTCTTGTTTTTCAAAGTAAAGAAGCTGGGACAGCCTCACTTGGGTCCTTTCTTCCCCTCAACCATAACAGAGCGGACTGTGGAGACAGGCAGACCTAGGTTCAAATCCTAGCCCTATCACTTACCACTTGATGACCTGGTTCAAGTGCCTTAACATCCCTATACTGTGGTTTTGTCCTCTATAAAGTGGAGATAATAATAATTTCTCATCTCATAGGGTTGTTGTGAGGATTAAAATAGACAGAATGCTTAGCATAGGGCCTATCACATGAGCCATTATTATGCCTCTCAGAGTCAAACCAAGTTCCGAGATGCCTGTTTCCTTCTTAGCCTCCCAAGTCTTTTCTTGATTTGAGAGACATGGCAGGACTCACCTGATTGGGACCTCCTGGCCTATCCAGCCTCTGAGAAAGCAGGACACCCACCTCATCAGTCAAGGAAATGCCCAGTTTGCAGGAAGCACTAAGAGACTAGGCGGAGAGAGGGAGAATGGGCAGAGCAGCCTTGCCTTCCAGTCCCGTGCAGCTCTGGGGGAATAAAGAGATGGCATGGTGATCTAGAATCCAGGTTAAAAAAATGATACGTAGGGTTTAAGCAAGAACTATGAGAACCTCCTCCCAATCCAAGGGGCAGAGCACCCATCCTGAAGTGACCTGATTAGTCTCAAGCTGAGCCTGGAAACCAAGCCTAGATGTGGCCACTGCCCCAGGCCTCCCCTGCCGCAACCCTACCTCCCAGATTTCCTTCCTATCCCAGGACTTGAGGGGCCTTTCCATAGAGGACCCCTTGATGCCTTTGTATAGTCCACAAAGAGCAGAATTGCTCTACCTAGGACATACAGAACATTTGGAGGCAGGTCTCCATGAAGGAAAAGGAGAATGGAAGCTCTGTTCTCTGGGTTTCTCTACCCTGTCCTGTCTGCAAGGGGGGTTACTCCTGAGGTTGGGGGCTAGAGTCTTGGATGGTGGGAAGGCCTTGAACCAGGGGGGAGGGCATGGGTGATGCCAGCCGGACCTGGGACTTCAAGGTCTGTAGGGCCTGCGTTCAGTCTTCTCCCCTCTCGTGTTTGAATGGACCCACATTCCCACCATCAATGGGCTCCAGAGGTGTTTGCCCTACTGTGACTTCTCACAATGACATTCTCCTTCTCTGCCTCTCTCTCTCTCCTTCTTTTTTTTCCGTAGAATTCTTCGGAAATTCCACTATCTGCTCAACCCCAAACAAGTTTTCAACCTGGACAATGGGGGGCCTACTCCAGGGTATGGAGATTCAATCTTTACTTCTTATTTCTCCCCTCCCCCTTTAAGCTCTGAAAAAGATACCTTTTTTGTCACCTTTTTTTATCCCTTTCATCTATGGACTTGTCTTTCCTGCCATTTTACTCTTTTTGTCTCCTTGTCCTCACATCTACTCTTCCTTCCTCCTGCAGATACTCAGGAAGACACATATGGCTAACTCTGAGAAGTAGCCTCCCATACTTTATCCCAGAAAAAGCTGTTGATTTTGTAAAAGGGGGAAAAACCACATGTGCCATTCATTTGATTGACAGGAAGGGCGGGCGGGTAAATTATTTTAACTTATTTGCAAGGCTGTGTTAGCTGGTATCTTCATACTGAATCATCAGGGAGGAGCAAAGAGTTTTCTTATCACTGTCAGTCGGTAGTTCTGCGGCATGTTCTGTTTTGGGGGCATTTTAGGATCAAGACAATTGGTTATTCAATGAAATCACTTTTTTGGGGGGATTAGCCAATTTAGGGGTTGTTAAGCTCCCCCTGGCTCTTTTCCCCCTGTCATTGGCCTATTGGCTATTTCACCACTCATTAGCAAAGAGTTGAAGAGAGGGAGAGAAATGAGAGGAGACAAGGCAGCCCCTCTGCAGCTGCACTGAGGTCTGCTAGGAGGAGCTGATCCTCGTATTAGTGGCTAACATGATGAGCTGCAGGTCCCTTAATCAGAGGCCCCTCTAGCATCGGTGCTGGAAGGCACCCAAAGACTGGGCTTCTTACCAGATAGAGCTGGTGTACTAGAGACATCTGCTGGCCAGCCCTGAGGCTGTCTTGGTGCCAAGTCCTCAGATCAGTACATGCTAGGCTGGGCTTTCCAGCACACAGCCGCTTTGCCCAATATCCTGACCCACACTTCTACTCTGTGTTCAGCAAGACCCTCAGAGGGGCTGGAGTAAGGACACTAAAAGGGAATCTGTCTCTATTCTTGGCTGTTTGACACGAAGCCATTATTTATGGTAGTGGTAGTGCAAGACCCAGTTCAAAGGAGAAAGAAACATGGGTGCTGATTCAGCCTGTCCGTCATGATTTACCTGAAAACTAATTTCAAAACAGAGCCCACCTATACTGCTGCAGTGCCATCACGGTCACTATGATCCCCGATTACTGCTTGATTATGACTGGAGATGGAGCAGCAGCCCTCAAACACCTTTTCCAGCCCACTCTTTTCTAGGGCATCTTGATACTTGAATGCAGTACTCTAGCTTAATCTCATCTATCCTAAATTTTTTTTTGCCCTGGATGACAAGCCTAGTGGCTACTTCTAGGGCTGCTGTGCCCTGAGTATCTCTGATCTAAGTGTCAGTCTGTAATCAACTGACTGTCTGGCTGAATGGAGCCTCCATTTGGAATTCATCTCCTCTAGGAGAACAGAGTTCTGCAAGAGGAGAGAATAGAGGGAATGTCAACTTGCCCTCACATGCATCAGGGACTCGGAAAACACCGGGGTCTTCTCAGACCCCAGGCTGGGCAAGAGGACATACTGAGCTTCAGCTTTCCAAGTCCCACCCAAAGGTGACCTCAGGTCACGTTTGTTCTAAGGCAGAGGTTTTTAACCTTTGTGTGACAGGAACCCATTTGGCAGTCTGATGAAGCCTGTGGATCCCTTCTCAGAATAATATTTCTTAATGCATAAAATGAAATATATAGGGTTACCGGGGAAACCAATTGTATTGAAAAAACGTTAAAAAACAAATCTGTGATATGGGAATATATGTGATTTACTCACACATTATATAGTAAGATTCATAGGCAGGTCTAATAACTGTTGTAAACTAAAAGCAGTGATGAGCATAAATGATAACATGAGGTATCTGCCACAACTGTAAGAAAACACTAAAATACCTGTGATTTCAACTGCTGACAAAGTCACTGGTATTGTTAATTCCTCTGTGATTTGTTGACCACATTCATGATTGAAGGAAATACTTAGGGAAGATAATGTAACATTTTTCTCCTCCAAGTTCATAGCCCTCTGGATGCCATCCACAGAACCCTTGGAGGTTCATGGACCCCAGGTTAAGAGCCTTGCTCTAAAGGATGAAGGCCCCCAAGGGGAGATGGTGCTCACTCCACTTAGGTCTGGAGCCACAGGAGAGTGGGATGAAGATCCAGTTAGTTCAGTGCATGTGACTTAACAGGGGTGTTCTAAGGACAGAGCAGGCAGGAGAGCCGGAGAGGAGTCAAAATGTTAGGCCTTCCTTGTATTGGTACCAAAATAAGCAAACGATGGATTCCTCTGCACAAATAATAGAGAGAATTTCTAGAAAACCATTTTCTGTGTTGAATGTTGAGTTAGATTCTCCTTATGCTAGGATGGCTCTCTGGGGTTCATCCTCAAGGTCATGGCTTTGTAAGTTCTGATTTTAGAACATTGTGACCCATTCAACCCCAAAAGGAATCAGAGTCAAAAAATACTCCTAGGGAAGGGGCAAGGCAGTGGGGGATGGACTCAAGGAGTATCAAAGGTCAGCCACAACCTAGTAAACAGGACCATTTTGGCCTCTCTTCTACTTCCCAGACTGAACTTTTTCCGTGATACTCCAGACTTCCGTGTTTTGGCCTGTGGAGGCGATGGGACAGTTGGCTGGATTTTGGATTGCATTGGTAAGAATGGGCTGGGAGGGCCTATCCAGTTCATTTATAGTGAGGATATTTAAAGTCAGAGGAAGGCGATAAAAAAGAAAGAGAAATGGAGCCACGTCTTGTTCTTCCGTGTTTCCACTCCCAGATAAATGCTTGACTAAATGCCTACTTTGGGTGGAAAAAAACAAAGAAAGAAGACAATGGAAGGATTCCCACAGGTACAGATGTAACAGGTTAGTTTTAGGCCTTGCCCCAAAGACATCTGTCATGGCCAGAGTTTGCGCAGTGTCAAGAAGGCCAGAGTGGGGGGTTACGGTGGATGAAGAGCAGGACTGGGACTCCAGGCAGATCCTGGGTGGTAGATAAAGGCCAGAGAAATAAGCACAGATGCATAGCCCAGGGCAAATCACCTTGAGATGAACACTTGGAGCCTGAGCCCAGAAAGCACATCTAGAAAGTGCAGATCAGTACTAAGCAAAGAAAGGCCATATTGGCTGTGTCCAGGATGCCTAGATCAAAAAGACAGTGGGGAGGGCCCAGTTGGAACTTGGTTCCAGTCCAGCTCTACCTATATCTGTGGGTTCTTGGACACATCATCCCCAGTAAATGATGGAGGCTGACTCTGAAATTCTGGATGGGGGGTATATTCAAGATCTAACTCTGGAGAATCAAGACAAACACAAGGATGGGGAACATAAGGACAGGAAAGGGGAGAGCTGTCATCAAAATTGGGGACTGGGCCTAGACAAGCCCTGGGCTGCTTTGGTCTTTCCATCACTCATTCCACAAATACTCCGTGTGCCAAGCTCTCCTTGAGGCACCAGCATTGCAGCAGTGAACAAATGGACAAAAATCCCACCCTCATGGAGCTTCCGTCCAGAAGGAGGAGACAGGAAATAAACAAAGAAATAAGCGAAACATACAGTATGTCAGAAGGTGATAAAAATTTAGCAGGGAATGGGCAGAGGGAGCTCAGCATGGGAGCGGGGATTGCAATCTAAACTGTGGTCAGGGAAGACCTCACAGAGCAGATGACATTTGGATGGCACCCTGGAGGAGGGGTGAGCCTGTGGATTCCTGAAGGAAGAGCACTTCAGGCAGAAAAAACAGCAAATACAAAGACCCTTCGGGGGAGGAGACCGGTCTGCTGAAGACACCGGGAAGGCTGCAGAGCATGCTGGAAAGTGAATGAGGCAGGGGACGGAGCAGAGATAATGCAGGGCCAGGTCACTAGGGCTGTATAGTGACTTGTAGGGCTTGTTGGGCTTTATATGGAATGTGGCTTTCATCCTCGAAACGTCCCAAGATGCTGGATGGTTTTGAGCAATGAAGAGACACAACAGATTACGAAAAAAGGGCAGAAACAGGGAGACCAGTAAGGAGGCTTCTGCAGTAATCCAAGTGAGAGGTGACTGTGGCTTGGACCACAGGAGAAACAGAGGAGGTGGTGAGAAGTAGGCAGATTCTGGATAGCTTTTGAAGGCGGAGCCAAATCCTGCCAGGATTTGCTGACAGACTGGAAGTGGGAGATGAGGGGAAGAAAGGAGTCCAGGATGGGCCAGGATAGACCCTGAACAGGGAAGGGAAGGCTGGGCCTCCAGGGTCATAGGCAGACGACCTGGAGGGGTGGGACCAGCAACCTGGCACACCTGCCATCTTCTGCTCCCCCACAGGCACTCTGGTTTCCATGGACACAGCCCTGCCAAGCAGCCACCCCCGCTCTCCTGTCACCTTGGGCTGTGGAGTTGTTTGTGGGAGGAGGGTGGCATCCTCTGGGAGCCGAGGAAGGAAAAGCTGATCAGCAGAGGGTGGATGGCTGCAGGCTTGGGAGCTGCTGTCTTGGTTCCCTCTCCATCATGAAGAAGAAAGTAGGCTTTGGTGAGAAGTTTGATAAAATTTATCTACAGAGGACACAGGTGATAGGAGCTGCTCAAAACAGAAAGAAAGAAGAAGGTCATGTGTGATATCTGCTATTCCAGGTTAGTGACCCAAAGAGAAAAGGCAGTGGTAAGAGGAATAATTGCATAATGTCCATTCATTCATTCAAGAAATAGTGAAGCACTTGTCCAGTGCTCTCTGCCACCCCATTTTCGTCCCCTTTCTGATCTGTTCCCCACTGCAGCCAGAGTGGTCTTTCCTGAATGTGAATGGGTTCATGATATGCATAAAGCACATCAGTGGCTTCACATTAAGATAAAGACAAAAATCCTTCAAATAATCTACAGGGCTCTGGGTGGACTAGCAGCTGCCCACCCTTCTGGACTTATTTCGTACCTCCATCCCTCTCTCTCTGGACTCTGGCCACCCAGTCCTCTCTCAGACCCTTGAATGTACCAGTCTCCCTTCGACCAGAGGGCTCTTGCATGAGTTGTTCTGTCTGGTATGTGCCCCCGGCCTTTGTGTGGTCAGCTTCTACTTCAGATCTCAGCCAAAGTGTGCCTTCCTCAGGGGAGCCTTCCCTGACACACCCCCAGACTCAGTCACCTCATTATAGGACCACACTCCTTTCCTTTCCAGTAGGAATTTGAAATTATGCATCATTTATGTGACAATCTCATTAATATTTGTCTCTCCCTCTTGCCTGGAGGAACCATGAGAGCCTGAGCCATGGCTTTTTTGCCTGTTATTGAAGCCAGAGCAGCTAACACAGCATCTGGCACATAGTAGGCCTTCAGTAAATATGTGTGGAGATACTGGGGTGGATAAGATATAGTTCCCCAGGGAATTTACAGCACATTCATGGAACAAATGAGTAGTCAGTTACAAGAGAGTGTGATGAGCTCATTCCTGGTGCTAAAGAAACACTCTGGAGAGGCCCCTGGTCTACACTAAGGCAACCAGGGAAGGCTTCCCAGGGGCGGCATCTGAGCTGAGCAACAGAGACCTTGTGATTTAAGCACTGAAAACACTTCAGTGTGATTGCCATGTTAAGTGGGAGGTGGGACATGAGAAGGATGAGGCTAGAAAGAAAGGCAGAGCCTGCACCCTGAAGGGCCTAGTGGGCCATGCTAAGGGGTGATGGGAGCTACAACAGAAGGAAAAGCAGTGGACTAATGTGATGGCACTTGTGGTTCAAGGATTGCCCTAGGTGAACACACTAGGGGGTGGAACTGGAGGCTGAGAGGGCAGAGGAGGCTGTTGCAGCAATAACAGCGGGAAGCAATCATACCCTACCTGAACTCAGGCATCACCATGGGGATGGAGAGAAGAGACTGCTTGGAGATCTAGTAAGGAGACAGCACGTGGAAATTAATGGGTGAATGGATGCAAGGGAGGGAGAGGGGAAAACCTAGGATGACATCCAGGTTTCTAGCCTCAGCACCATGAGGATGGCTACCCTGCTGACATGGGCACCACGGAAGAAGGAACAGACTGAAGTAAACAAGGGCTTTCTAGGCAAAGGGAACAGAATGTGCAAAAGCAGGGGGGCATAAATACAGACTCCATGTTCTGGGAACAATGAGAGAGTCCGTTGCTTTGCTCTGCCCTCCATCTCAACCCTCCTGGTGCTAATCTCAGCCCTGGGTCTTGCCTGAGCTCAGCCATTTCTGGCACGAATCAGACAACCTGAGGGACCTATGAACTCCCATTTTGTTGCTGCAGCCCTAGCATGAGCCTGAGGCAGGATGCTGATTCCTGCATTGCCCGCCCGCCTGCACTCCCCACTTACATTGCTCACATCGCCCGGCACCAAGTGCGCTGAGGTTTATGTACATGGCGCCCCCTGGAGTGCGTTGGTTGTCTCTGCCTCCCTCAACTTCCCCGTTCAGCCAAGATGCTGCAGCCAGATTAAAACCTACATGTTCTGCTGTGCTTTCTCTGATGGTTCAATCTGATGCTCCTTCACCACCAGCATGGCAGATAAGATTAGGAATTTGCAAGTCTGGGGGGTGTTGGAAGTGGCAAACTGGCACCTGGGTGCCAAAGAACACCTGGCAGTTTTGTTTGTTAGACACAATGTTGTTTGGGGGCTGGCCCTGTGGCTGAGTGGGTGAGTTCGCACGCTCTGCTGCGGCAGCCCAGGGATCCTGGGTGCAGATATGGCACCGCTCATCAGGCAATGCTGAGGTGGCGTCCCACATAGCACAACTAGAAGAACCTACAACTAGAATATACAACTATGTACTGGGGAGGCTTTGGGGAAAAGAAAAAAAAAAAAGAAGACACAATGTTGTTCTGAACCTGAATGACCTTAGGTGAGGTATGTTCAGGTTTCCAAATGCCCCACCATCCCCACTATCTCGGACCCACCTGTTTGACTCTCTGTGCCCCTGCCTAGCCCCTAAAGAAGGGAGGAGCATGGACTTGGAGCTGTAGAGATCTGGATTTGGATCCTGGCTCTGGAATTACTCTCCCTCTCTGAACCTCAGATTCTTCATCGATAAGGAGAATGATAATACCCTGCAGGGTTGGTCTGAGGGATAAATGTAGTAAGTGCCGATTATTAAGAATCAGAACTGTGCAAACTAATGTTTTGAGGTGTATGCTGTCACCCCAACGGAAAGAATTAGGGTGAAATGAGGATAAAGAGGTGCAAGTTACAGGGAGACAGATTTTGCTCAATAGGAAAGAATCCTTTGTAGTGGTTAACATGCTACAGATGGAAAAGATGGTTTTAGGAAGTAGTGTGTTCCCCATCATGGGAGGTATTCAAACAAAGAATGCTTTGGAGTGGTTCAAGCATCAGACTGAGGATAACTAGATAACTCGAACATTCTGTAATCCCATGGCATATGGTTCTCTCTTTCGCATGGGTTGTAGATAAGGCCAACTGTGCAAAGCATCCACCAGTGGCTGTCCTGCCTCTTGGAACAGGAAATGACCTGGCCCGCTGTCTCCGCTGGGGAGGAGGTGAGTGTGAATGGCACAACCCTGGGGACAAGCACTCCAATCTATAGGGATGCTCTGCAGAGCTAGGCTGACCTTCCCTTTTAGGAATCACATTCCACAGAGTCAATATCTACTCCATGACCATTTCCCAGCCCCCCATTGCCTGCTAAGGCCTGTGCTTACCCCTCACCATGTTTACTATCATCTAAAAACTATCAGCTTAGAGCCTGCCTCCCTCAGTAGAACATAGTCGACTTTAGGGTAAAGTCTCATTTGTCTCCTTGCCACTGCTCACCCCAGGAGGGACCCACTAGGTGACTTCTGCATGAAATTCCCCTTTTCCACATCACTGGTCTTCTTCCGAATGAGGACTCAGAATGCAGACCAAAAAGCCACATCAGCAGCTGCAGGGGCATCCAGATCATCCTAGGCCCCCATGGCCATGGGCCCTCATTTTGAAAGTCCCCTAAGGAAGAACAGAGAGTGGTAATCAGCTTACAGGGCCATGGGCAGGAGCTAAGGGGAACTTTGCAAACTGCATCAGCACGCTCTAGAGAGTAGAGAAGTTCAGGTCAGCATGCGGAATGGACGGATCGGTCTGGCAGTAGAACTGGGGTGGGACTCCAGATGGCTGCTCAACTCAGAGAGTGATTCAAGACTAGGACAGGCAACGGTCAGCGTTCAGAGGTCGATGCATGTTTGGTGGCAGGGGCAGAACAAGCGGGAGCCAGCCCTAGAAGAAAGTTGATAGGCATGGGAGAAGCTGCCAGGGTCCTCAGCCACACACTGAGGCTAGGGAAGAGCCGATCAAGAGGGACAGGCAGAGTGTGGCCCCACGCTCTGGGCATCTAGGCAGCCAAGCTAGGCACAAATTTCATGCAGGAACCCCAGGCCTGTGTTCCCACATAGCCTCAAGACCCTCAGCTACATAGTTGCTACCCTTGCTATCTTGAGAGGCATCCCCTAAGGAGCTGACCACAGCCTGGCAACATGAAAATACTCTCCAAGGTTGTCCCAAAGGTAAGCAAGAACATGGACGTGTTATTTGAAAGAAAGGACTGTCTCCGTCATTAACCTCTCATCACTTAAAGATTCACTTTCTATTTTAGTTTCCTATTGCTGCATAACAACTTATCATAAATGTAGAGGCTTAAAACATCCACTTATTAGCTCCCAGACCCGTAGGTCAGAAGCCCTGGAATGGCGTGACTGGGTTTTCTGCTCAGGGCCTCACACGCTGGAATCAGGGTGCTGGACAGGCTGTGCTCCCCTCTGAGGGCTCTGGGAGACGAATATGCTTCTACGCTCCTTCAAGTTTTTGGCTGAATTCAATTCTTTGTGATGGTAGGACTGAGGTCCCTGTTTCCTTGATGGTTGTCCGCTGGGACCACTCTCAGATCCTGGAGGTCTCCCACATTCCTTGCCAGATGGATCCCTCCATCTTCAAAGCCTGCAACAGAGAATCTCCCTCACATCGAATCCCTCCCAAGTTTCTACTCTATTTCTTAAGGAAAAGTTCAGTCCTTTCTAAGGACTCACCTGATTCGGTTAGACCCACCCAGAATAATCTCCCTTTCTTAAAGTCAATTGTGCCATATAATATTCCTAATCATGACAGTGACCATCCCATCTTATTCACAGATCCTGGAGGTTTTGCAGGATGTAGACACTGGGGGTCAGGAATTGTGGGGACCATCTTAAAATTCTGCCTAGCACACTATCCAACTCCAGCACGGCATGACACGGTCCTGCAACAGATCCTTTGTTCTCCCACGTGCAGCTTCCCAACCACCCAGGCCACCAGTTCTCTAGGGCTTGCTTCAGCTGCACAGGCCTGCCCATCTGTGGCCAGCACTCACTCCTACCCCTGCTGCTCTGGCTTCCGAATCTCTCCAACTTCTTTCTAATTACTTCGTATTGTCTTCTTCTTCTCCATGGCTCAGGGGACCTAAGTGTCTCTGGCCCACAGACACACTGGGGAGTCTCCTGGTTACAGATGCCCATGGAGTTCCCTGCCCTGACAGCTACCTATGCATCAGCAACCACTTAGCCTTTCTCCTCTGGGGGCAAATGCAATGCCGTGCTCCACAGGTTATGAAGGGGGCAGCCTGACGAAAATCCTGAAGGAAATCGAGCAGAGCCCCTTGGTGATGCTGGACCGCTGGCACCTGGAAGTCATCCCTAGAGAGGAGGTGGAGAACGGGGACCAGGTCCCATACAACATCATGAACAACTATTTCTCCATTGGCGTGGTGAGTTGGCTAGGGATCGCCTTTTTGCATAGAAGAGAAATGCCCAGGTGTGCAGGAGGGATTCTAGTCTTCCATTGTCCCCTCTGGGTCCCTACTCTTTACCCATCCTGGCTGCCCCTAGCCTTGACTTGGGTCCAAGCATCCTTGCGTCTGGCCTGGGCGTGGACACCATGATTGCACCAAGCCCCTTTCCTGGATTATGGAGGAAATTCTTTCCCGTATAATTTTAACTAACTCAGTAAAAGACAGAACATTTTTCCAAAGACATGTTTACCCTTGGGACAATTTGAAGCAGTCAAAGAAAAGCAGCACCAATAACCAAGAGGCAAGGTCGGGAGGAGAATCTCATGTGAGCTTCCAGAGTTGGGAATTCTGATCCTCCAGGGAGGACTGTGTGGTCCCCAGCTGGCTCAGCTGGCTTAGCTCTCAGAATTTCTTCTTTCCTGTTGTCTCCATTCATCTCAACCCCATTCCCCACACTCTAAGTGCTCGTAAACCTGTGGAAGATGCTGACCCCTTGGGCTGAGCTCTGTCTCCTCCCTGATGCTCCCACAGCCCTCTGTGCTCGCCCCGTCAGTGCACTCTCTGCATTAGATTGAAGGGATTGGTTTAATGCACCTGTCTCACTCCCCCAAAACACACACACATACACACACACGCACACAAAGTGCAAGGACCATGCAAGCTCCTCTTTCTTCCTGCAGCCCCCAGCACATCTAGTGCAGCTCAGTTTGTTTGACTGAACTTAGCTTCTGTCCAAAGAGGATGGGGTAGACCCTGCTTCCCAAACTGTTGGGGACAAGATGGGGGAGAAAAGGGATTGATCATTTCCATAAGTAGAGCTAGGCTTTGGGAGGGAGGTGCAACAAAGACACTAGCATTTATTGAGCATCTACTGTGTGCTTTCCACTGTGCCAGACTTTATATATTCCTGTCCTCACAGCAATCCTGCAGGTATCATTGTCCCCACCATCCCCATTTTACAGATGAGACTTCAGGATACTTGATTCATCAGGGGGAAAACTAGCACATGCATGCTGTGCCTTACTCTGAAGCCAGGTTCTTTCCTCTGTTTCGCCGTCTGGGGAATTATGCTGCTCAGTTTCATGTGCATATGAGTCCTTCCAGACCAAGACTGTGTGAACCCTGCACTCCTCAGCCATCTTCACCTGTGCTTCTTTTGAAAATTTTGGTGGTTTAAAAAAAAAAAACGAGGGGCTGGCCCCATGGCATAGTGGTTAAAGTTCCGTGCTCCACTTGGGCAACCCAGGTTTGCGGCTTCAGATCCCAGGCATGGACCTACACCACTCGTCAGCCATGCTGTGGTGGCGACCCACATATAAAGTGGAAGAAGATTGGCACAGATGTTAGCTCAGGGCCAATCTTCCTCAGAACAAAAAAAACGAACCAGAAGGAGAAATGATAGGTAGCTTGAGGGAAGAACAGGTTTAAGGAAAGGGTTTTTTTAATAAGAAGACTAAAAGGAGAACCATGGAAGAGGAAAGGATTAATAATAATAATACCATATATTTACAAGATTTAAAATTTACCATATTTACAGATATTTTCTTGAGTCTTACAGCTGCACTGAAGGGCAGTATTATCTCCATTTTATAGGTGAGGAAACAGTCAGATGAAGGGATTTGCCTTCATTTTCCGACTCCTAATCCATCGCTCTTTTTCTACTACTAAAACAGAAGAGAGAGGCCTTGCTGGCCCATGATCAGGTTCTGAGAGGATGCAGGCAGAGGGGAGCAAATTCAGGGATCTCTGTGCTCAGATCTGGTCTATCTCCTGAGCTCCCCTGGCCTCAGTTGGAGGAGCCTGGTTCCCTAGGCCCCTTCTAGCTTCTCCACCCCCAGTGACCTAGGCAGACCCCTCCCTCCTCTTCTTGGCTCAGAGGCCCCTCTCCTTTTTGGACCACCTGCTCAAGGTCCACATCCCCCAATGGGAACATGCAGTCTTCAGCTCCTGCAAATCAGATATGATCAATAGGACTGGTGTTCAGGGAGCTTCTGGAGCATGGGCTTCCCGTTATCATAGTTGTACAAAAACTCATGTCTTTTGCCCACAGTAACTAGAGTGTAACTTGCTAACATTTATTGAGTCCCTCTTGCACATCAGGCACAGTTTCCCTATTGGGAGGTACAGGCATTATCCTTTTGCATTTTGTAAGACGGAACTTTAGAGAGATACAGAGACAAGTCCAAGCTGGTGAGCGGGAGAGCCAGGAGCCACTAAAGTCGAGCTCCAGAGCCCACTGAGCTGTGGACCATAAGCCATGCAGTTTCTGCATAGCACCCTCCATCTTCATGCTGCCAAATGCAGCAGGATTTGGAGGGGAGGAGCCTCAAAATTTAGTGTGTGATAGCTCACCAATGCCCCTTGTCAGAAACGCAAATTCCAGCCCCATGACAGATCCTGATTTGTATTCTGATTCAGTTGGTCTGGGCAAAGTGTGGGAATTTGCCTTTGTAACAAGCCCCTGAGATAATTCTGATGCCCATGGGCCCATCCAAGTCTTCAGTGAGTGAAGATAATCCATTAGAGCAGACAATGGTCAAAGGAAGTGGTTTTTCACAGGAGCAGAAACTAGAACTGAAATACATGAGGGGAAAGATAGAGAGGAGGGAAGAATACCCAGAAATGAAAGCTGAGCAGCAGGTCTGGAAGATCTGCCTGGAACTTCTAGATAGCAGGTTACAGCCACAGCTGCCTTCTGAGTCTTCAGCCCCAAATCTCTTTCTTGACACACCCAGCTCTGGCTGCCAAAAACAACATGATTCCTGACACCTCTCTCCAGTGCCAGATGCAAAAAAAAAAAAGGTACTCGCTTAGTATTAGCTGACCAAATGGATGAACACACTAAAAAGGAATAGACAATGTCCCCTCAACTAGATAACCAAGCCTAATCCCACAAGCCAAGATTGATCGTAGTTTTAATTCATTCTTGCAAAAAAGTGGGAAAGAAGAGAAGGAAGGAGGGAGGAAGGAAGGAAGGAAGACCAGCTAATTGTCCCCCAAGGAAATGCAAACAAACAGATTCTTCACCACACTCCGTGGTCAAGCTATTTCTTTGCCCTGGGCTGACTTAGAATAATCCAGTCTGTTCACCTTTGAAATTATAAAGAACTTCACAGTATCTTCCTCATGATTTTTTTTATACACCTTTAGCTTGTGCATGTTTAATGTTTCATTGCGAGGCAGTAAGGAACCAGGACTGTGTTTTATCTCCTTGGTGTACCCATAGCCTGCTCTCAATAAAATGTTTGCAGGGTTTGTGTGCTCGCTCTTTAAAAGTTGGAAAGAGAAATTCTTGAGAAAACAAGTTGCCAACACGCAACCCTAGCAGAATCTGGGGCTGACATTTGCAGAAGCTCTTGCTCCCTATTTGACTTCCCAAACTTTGTAAGAGGAGAAGTAGGTATGTAAACCAACCCACAGTTTTACTTCCTTAAGATGATTAGAGTTGACTCCTTTGGCAAAGAGAGCTTTGCAAGTCTTTGCCTCTTTTGAAGGACCTGGAATATCTTATTGATATCAAATGTCTCCTGCCTTGCATTTACAAAGGTGATGACAATGACTGCTGCTGTGGTGCCCCTAGATGGTAAAGAATTTACCCGGACGAGTTTGTCCCCTTGGTGCCAGGAGAACCTATTCAAGAGATGGAGGGATAAACAGGGCAGACTCTCCTGGCCTATCCAGGGAGTGACTATGGCATCATTGTCACCACATTCTCATCACCACATACATGCCAGCTCCCCACCAGTGAAGAGTTGAGATAGTTGGCCTTCTCATTCCCCTGAACTGATAACATCCATTGGCAGGAGATTTTAAACCTAGTCATTCAGGACGCTACTTCCTCTGACTTCTCTGGCCTCCTCGTCCTTGCTTTTTATTTTTGGATTTGCAGAAATGTCAGGATGGCCAGGTATCAGTGACAGGAAGTTTGGAACTGCAAAATAATTCCTGGGGTATGTGTAACTCTGAACGCCTCAAAGGCTCTGCTTTCACTGAGCCTTAACAGGATGAGTGAACAGCTAATCCCTTGATTCAATGAAATCTATTTCTGATGCTAGGAGAACCCAGGGGCCAAGGAGAAGCCACAGTCATCACGCTAATCCACGTACCATTTTCCACCTTACAGAGTGTACTTATCAGACTTCACCAGCCAAGTTTCCACAATGATAAGCCTCCTACCCATTAAGAAATTTATCAACAAGTCATCATTTTCCCTGCAAACTTTTTTGGATTCCCTCAGCCTCAGGTTCTTGTCTGTCACCTGTGAGAGCCATGGAGGTACTAAGACAACGGGAGTCACTGAGATGTGTTTTGGACAAGGGGTCTACATCTTTTTAATTCCCCAATCTACTATAATTTTTCAGAACAATCCAAATTTCAAATAATCTGTCTTACTGTCTCTTCTCTGTCTTTTTATCTCCATAAGTTGCCAAAGTGACTTAGACCTGCATTGTCCAATATGGTAGCCATTAGCCACATGTGGCTACTGTGCACTTGATATGGGGCTAGTCTACACTGAGAGATGCTATCAGCATAAAACACACACCAAATTTCAAAAATGTGGTATGAAAGAATTTAAAATATCTGAATAGGTTTTCTATTAACTGCATGTTGTAGTGATAATATTTGTTAATTAAAATAGATTACTAAAATTAATTTCATATCTTTCTTTTCACTTTTTTAATGTAGGCCCTAGAAAATTTCAGTCGACTCCTATTGGATAGCACTGGCCTAGACATCCACTTATCTCAAAGTCCAAATGACTGCTGCTTATATTTGGAAGAGGCACAAAAATCTTTTCTCCAACTATGTGCTTGGAGTTCTAGTTCAGGAAGGAGTAGCCATGTGTCTATACTGTTATCATCTCCTCTTCTCCTACACCTCATGCAAAGGACTCCGGAGAGTGAGGCTGTCAGAAATGCCATCATCACTCCCAGGGGTTTGCCATTCCCATCTCCACCCTCACCCCCCCTTCAGATCAGAAGTCTCATTTTGCCTTAATTATTACCAAGGAAGGGTTTGAACCATTGTAGTACTGGTTTCCAAAATTTAAATGAAATCACCACTGAATTTAAGTACACTCAGCTCAGTGCCTGAGAAAGAGAAGCTCAACAGTGAGTCAAGGTGAATCTTGACTCTCTTTTTAATCCACAGGTAGAGACACATGGTCAGAGTCTCTACCAGCATTGCCTTTTCAAGACTGAACAGCAAAGGAACTGCTCCACTCTCCCTTGCTCCTTTGTGTATTTACCAAGGGATTACACTGTCAAATTAGGAACCACATGCTTAACTAGTAATATTGTAAAAGCTGGTCTTTATGAAAAGAAGCTTTGCAAAACCTAGTTCTGAAAAAGCCAGGGATAATCAGAACTACACAGAAGGAGGAGGCCTGTGCACATATCCCAGAGAATAAAAACCTAGGAGCCAGTCACAGCAGCACTGGGGGCGGGCGATAGTGAAGCACAAATTGTGCCAAGCAACATGTGATTGCTTTTTTTTCTTTCCTTTTTTTTTCCCCCTGACAGAAGAAAATTAGTGCTTCAAAGGAACACAAGTAGATGGAATGTTTTCTTCAATTCTAGAGAAGCATTTGACAGATGTCGCATGACTCTTATTCAGAGGATTCTCTGAAACCTGCTCAGGGAGAGGGAGATGCGCACAGTCTGGGAGCAGGAAGCACTTCTGCCTGGAGAAGCTCGGCAGGCTGTGTAGGCCTGGGGGACAGAGGCCTCTGAGGTTTTGCACGTCTCCCACTGTGTGTCCACAGGCATGCCTAACCAAGACCTTCAACCCTTAATGGGTCTTAAACTAAAAACTGAAAGCTAAATCCATAAGTAGAGTCTAAATTTTAAATTCCCAAGACATGACTTCAGCAAGGAATGTTTGACAACCATAGAATAAGCTTCTATCCTTCACTTGCCCTCTATTTTTCAGTAGTGGGCTACTGGCTGGATTTGCTCCTCCGCCAAGTGCAAATATTACGAAAGCTCTTCTTTGCCCCCTAACTTGCTTCTGGACTTTCTGTCTCCATCATTAGCCTATATTTTACTTACCACACACAGCACATGCTGAAAAAAAAGCTTCTTCTCTGAACTCTACCTCCTGATGTTGAGAAAAAATTCAGAAATTTTCTTTTGTAGGGTTTCCATATCAGGAAAAGGAATTAATATGCACTAGCTGAAAAGTCACTGGTATGAAATTTCAGTTCTCTTTTAGCCGCATATTCCAGTAAATGAGTTTCTGTATTTTTTTTTTCCCTGCACAAATCTGAATCAGCTCCCTTGTTTCTGTCAATCCCCTGACCCCGGCCCAATTAGCCTGGTTATTTCTAACGTCCACCACCTGCACCTAAAGTGCTGGCATGGGGCCTGAGCGGGGAAGAGGCGTTCCACTCTCTTCTGCTGGGAAATGAGACCATTAACAAGGGCAGAAGACCAAGTCTGAGGAGGAAAGATGAGTCCAGTTTTAGGTCTAAAATTCAGGGTTGGTTCTAAAGATATACACTGTGGAGACATGCGTCTAGATGCTAATAACAACTATGAGAACTTATGACATGGAGTGTAGGCTACAGACTGGACTCAGGGCTAAGTTCTCACAGGGGATGGAGAGCCCAGAAGCACAGTGTCAGGGGAGCCATTCTGACTGTGAGTTATGAGGGGCAGGTGGCCAATAGTGCAGCAAAGGCATGTGCTAATAGGAGGACAGCAAGGTGTCCACAGAATGTGGTCATGAGACTCTTATTGACCTTGGGGAGAGTCGTATCCAGTGGAATGATCAGGAACCAGAAGCGCGAAGTTTAAATATATTTTTTATTATCTACTAAGCATGGTATCCAATGCTACCAATGATTTCTACTGAACACAGATGTTTAAGAGTTAATATATAACAGCATCCACCAACGTCAATTTTCTGGTTTTGACAATGTACTATAGTTACGTAAGATGTTATCACAAGGAGAAGCTGGCTGAAAGGGACACAGGAACTCTCTGTACTATTTTTGCAACTTCTTGTAAGTCTTAAAATATTCCAAAATAAAAAGTATTTGTTCAAAAAGAGTGAATATGGCGAGGCATTTCCAAAGACTCACGTTCAGCTGCACACACAGGCTTCTGCACTGTCGCTGCTCAGACCCAGACACCCTCTCTCCTCAAAGGGCAGTGGCTGTCCCCTTCACTCACCCTGAGCTATGGCCCTGGAGAGAGTGAGTTTTGCAAGGAGTCAAGAGGCATAGGCTCTACAAGCACTAGTGGCACTAGCCCCTAACTTTGGACCTGGCGTCCAGGCTCCGTGGGAGCCTCCATGTTCTCCCCTGTGAGGTGGACGCTCAGGGTCTGGGGGATGTCAGTGAGAGAGTGTGCTTCCCTTCCTTCCACGTCGCACGGTTATGACCACTCACCAGGGATCTACTTTCTGTCTCTTCCTCTTTCAGGATGCTTCCATTGCACACAGATTCCACATGATGAGAGAGAAACACCCAGAAAAATTCAACAGCAGGTAAGAGGGCGATGCGGCTGCAGCCGCCGCTGCCCTGCCCATCCGCCCCGCCCCGCGCGGCCGGCCAGTCCGAGGCCGCCACCTGCTCTCACCCAAGTGTTCTTGGCCCGGCCGCCCGGGGACTTCGCCTTCCTGCCACGTTGCCGGAAGGAGGGCTTCCATTTCCAAAAAGAACACAATGTCAGAAACCTGCCGCCGCCCGGCCTCCTGACCCCTCCCAGAGGAGGATGTGCGGAGGGAGGGCGTGGTGCACCCCCCGCCTTGGGGCAGTTGGGGGGACGGTCAGTTCTTGGCTAACTGGAACCCCCTCCTAGGGCTCGGCCGCTTTCTCAACACGTACACCACCCCGACTCCCAGCCCCGAGATTTCTCTGGGGAGGGGCAGGCAGGGTGGCAGCAGCCTCAGTTTCTCACCATCTCAAAGGGGAGGGGACGGCAGCTCCAGGGCCAGGGCGTCGCCTCTGCCTCCCCCGACAGCAGAGGGCAGCAGAGGGAGGCCTCTGCAGAGGCGGCGAGATCCGGAGCCCACCAGATCCCAGCCTCAGCCTGCCCACTGGGTGAAGTCTGGATGTTAGGTCCAAAAGTGAAAGGAGTGAGAAAACTAGATCATTTGCAAACAAAACCAATCCTTGCTGGCGGGAGGAAATTTGTGAGACGTGAGTTCTGACTGGCTTATAGCGAACCCTGGGACTATTCAATTACCTTTCTCCCTTCTTCTTTGTTTCTTCTCCTTGGTTGATTTCCATCCTTTTTCTTCTTTGTGTACCACTTCAAGATGATCACTGGACCGCACCCCACCCTCAGGCAGGTGGGGAGGAGAGTGGATATTAATTAGGAACCTGAAGGACTTGACTTTATTTAGCCCATACGATTGTCTTCAAAGCACAGGTCTCTGTTATCTGCAGGCTTTCGTTTAAAGCACCTCCGAAGAGCTCCATCTTTTCATTCCTACTCCTTGCCCCTGACCCCCCAGCCTGGGGGTTAACTGAGAACTAGAAAGTCTTTTTAGGCATCAGAAACTGAACATAATGAAGCTACTTTGGCTTCAGAAAGAATGGTGTGTGGGATCTAATAGTAGCTGAACTAACCTTAAGACGTGCATTCTGTCAGAGGCATATTCCGTCTTTCTCTCACACACAGACGGTGCACACTCACAAAACACTATTAACCCGTGTACTTTCAGCCCCTACTCCTACTGTAGTCACAAACTTACAAATCAATTGATGATCTTCTCACGATCTCACAATTTCACTCTCATCTGTACACAAAATCACTTTTTAAAAAATCCTGCTCTTGCATCCGTTCCAGACTTTTCACACAGGTACCCTTATGCATACTCATGCACACATGCTTGTCAAGATGCCATATGCTTGTGAAATCCATGGGGGTTCCATTCATTCATTCATTCAGTGAATGTATCTTTTGAAAACATACTACATCCCAGGCGCTGTTGTGTAGGTGTTTTGGGTAGATATATGTTGGGGGCTCACAGTCCAATGGTGGAGACAGGCTGGAAGGCAGATTTGCATAGTGATTTGCGTGAAGTGATGTCTCAAGGTGATCTGTGGAACACAAAGCAAGGGCTTGAACTTAGTGTAGAGGATCTTCAACTACAGAGATGCCGGAACCAAGACACAGAAAACCAGTATTTTCCAGGTCGACAAAAAAAGAAGGGCAACCTACTGAGAAGGAACCAAATGTACAAAAAGACCCAAAGGAGTGAGAGGAAGCAGCATACTCACGGAAGGGCAAGATGCTCAGTGAGGTCCGTCGTGGGGTCTCTAGGCGCAGAAAGAAGCAAAACCTCTGTCGTTTGTAGAGAGCAAGGAAGCAGAGGGAGGGAGAAATGTCTCCATGTTCCAAAGATCAATAGACAGGATATGACATAAATAGAGCACCCATCAGTCATCCACATGATTGAGTACAACCAGAAAGATACCTCTGTCAGAAAAAGTTGTAACTGTGCATTTCAATGTAAAGGATGAACAAATACACTGAGATCTGAATGACCGTTTTTCCTTGCCACTTCCAGTTCCCATTAACTAGACTACTCTTGGCCATTACGTGTGCACCTCAGCCTTCACCTGGCTGAGATCAAGGTAGTGTGGTCGCCTGGATGACAGGCACGGGGATTTGCATGTAAATCCGTGTGCCTGCTGCTAAGTGAAGACAGAGTGGCGCAGAGGTACTCCCCGTTTCATCAGGTCCCAGAACACTTCCTGTTAAGAACTTTGAATCCATGCTGCTTCTGCACTTCCTGCTTGCTCATGTTGAAAATACCCGAGTGCCCAGTTTGTCCACTGAGAGGCAGGCGAGCAGCCATTTTCTCCAGGCTTCCTTATTTAGCTTTGGAGATGGTCTTAAATAGGCAGGTGGTTGTTGCCATGGTTACCCCATTACACCAGCAGCTAAACTTAGGAAGGGCCACAAGGGATAGGAAGAAAGCTTGATACCCGGGATTTGGAAATGTAAACGATATTATCAAACAAGGCCTCGGTTTACTCGGCTGAACTTATGTTTTCCAAAGAGCCTGCTTGGCTGGACGCCCTTACTGTTAGCGGCTGGGACTAGGCCCTGAGGGATGACCCTGAGGTTCAATCTAGAGAGTTGTAACTGTTTTGTTTTGTTTTGTTCTGAACAAGGGAGCGTGACTAGACTGGGCTAGAATTTATCAGGAAACTTGATGCTTTCGCATTGCTCATTCAGTTTTCTGGGCTGTTCCAACAGGAGTTCTTAACCTGAGGTATAAGGGCTGCATGAGCTCTGAGACCATCTTGAAATTGAGTGTAAGATATTGAGTATATTTTTCTAGGGAGAATGTCTGTAACTGTCAGGTTTTTGAAGGGACCCATAATCCTCAAGTGGTTAAAAGTCACAGTTCTGAGGCCTCTTTGAATCCTAAGAGGCATCAAATTATGACTCAACTACTGGGGTTTCAGGAAATTCTTCCCCAGTGGCCTCTCTACACAGGTGGTTGCCAGGGAAGGTTGCACAAAACTAAGTTATGTTCCCTGGCAGAATGGCTTTGTTAGTGGAGCAGGAACCAGACCCAGGGAGGCAGGAAGATGAGCAAAGTGTAATGGGCAAGGGAACAAAGGCCTTTGACAGCAGAGGTGGGGCAACTTTTGGTACATTCTACTTCCTAATCATTGATAGGCTAATTATTAATTGCTAATTTAGGAATGTTATGAAAATTATCTTCTCGTTGTTGGCATAAACAACAGAAGAGAGATTTAGTTCAACTGAAATTCTAACATGTTGGTGTTCTAGGAATCAAGGGTAAATAATACGTGGCCCCTGCCTTCAAGGAATTCATAGTTTAGCAAAGAAGGAAAAATAATCCTCAAATATTTTTTACAAAATCATTTCGCATACAAAGAGGTTGGATTTTGTAGGTCATATAGTGTACAGAAAGTTGTATAGTATAAGACACTTATTAATGGTTGTATCCCAATGTTACTTGTAAATGAATTGTTAAGAGTGTAGAAATAGTGTTATAAGGAAACCAAACTAAGAACTGTTATTTTTTTAGCTCCTCTACATGCCAGGTAGTTAACTAGGTTCTTTAAATACATTAGATTATTTAAATCCCAAAACCACCCTACAAGGTAAATATTAGCATTCCCATTTCACAGATAAAGGAACTGTGGCTGGGAGAAGCCAAGTCACCTAACCGAGGTCATACATTGTTTTAAGCAGTGGGGCTGATATGATTCTTTTTTTAAAAATTGAGATATAATTGACACAAAACATTATATCGGTTTCAGGTGTGTAACATAATGATTCAATATTTTTATATATTGCGAAATGATACCACAAGAAGTCTGATATGATTCTAACCTAGTCCTAATTCCAGAGTTCAAACTCTGTTTGCCGCACCTGCTGTCTCCCATGGATTTCACTTAGTAAACACCTATTGTATATCAAACACTTTCATGGGTACTTATTATGCATGATCTCACTCAATGCTCGCAACAACATGCACGTGTATGTGCTACCATCCGCATTTTAGAGATGAAGACATGGAGGCTAAGGAGGGCGGAGCTTTTATCAGCTCCGTTTTTATATCACCTTTACGGATTGTCTCTGTAGGAGAACGCCTGCTGAGTTCTAAAGCGGGACCAGAGGTACACCACCCACTCTTACCTTACGTGGAATGACTCTTCTCCCTATCTCAGTGTCCACAGCAAGGAGCAGGACCAACTGTATGATTTGCATGGCCCAGTGCAAAATGTAGGCCCCCTTATTCAAAAATTATTAAGAATTTCCAGTTTGTGACAGCAGAGCATTAAACCAAGCCAGGGCCCTTCTAAATGTGAGACCCCATGCAGCTACACAGATCTCACTCCTATGGGGTTGCAAGGAGAGAGGAGTTAATAAAAAGAAGAAACATTTGCCAGGACTCACAAAGTGGGGAGTTTGCAGTAAAGGTAAAAGAATGGAGGAAAGCGAGTTCCAACCAGGGGAGGAAGGAGAGGGATTATCAGTCCCCCAAACAGGTGGTAGTCAGTGTTAGCAGATGAACTGAGGATGCCACTAAAGTCTTCCAGATACCCAAGAACCAGTCCTCCATGAAGTTTACGGATTAACTTTCTGTGAAGGGTTTTGTATATATGGAATCCATACGTAAAAGCTACCTAATTCCAATGTCACTGTTAGTGAGTGTCCAGAAAGAGAATCTAACTATGGAATTTTTTCCTTGTTGGTCAGAAACTCAGAGCACTTGAGGAATGTGTTATTCTAAACCTGTTGAGTGTCATCCACTTCAATATGTCCCTCAGCAGTTTAGGCTGAGGCAAGATACTTCCTGTTAGGCCGTTCAAAGGGACCGAAACAGTGCTTCATTCCTACCAGAAGCTGACCACCTTTCCCAAAAGCCCTTGGGTAATTAACAGGCTCTGGAGTGTTAGCTTTCTTGGAGCCAGGCCCGTAAAGTAGCTGATGAGGGGTTCCCCAGAAGCCCTAATGTAGGCTGAGTCCTTAAGAGATTGGAAATACATC